ACTAAATTTAAAACAGAATTCTTTTATTTTTTATTGGATATAGTCAATGAAACATTAGAAAATAGATTTCGTTCGACTCGAGGTCTTTTAACTGACCTAAGTTTGTTAACTGAAGAACGAATATTGTTCACAAAAAAAAATAATGAATATGCACTGTCTAAAAATGAATTCAGTGAATTGGCTAAATGGTTACCACAAATACATTTAGAAAATCTTCAAACTGAATACAAAGTTTTTGCTGAAAGTTATCAGGCATTGGAGAACACAAGTTCTAATCAAAATATATTTCAATCACTTAATAAGGAAGATGCTGTTGATCCTGAAGATGATGAAAACTATGATGAAAATACATGTAGTACATCCGAAAAAGAGCACAACCCTATTAAAGGATTTTCATCATCTATGCTACATCTGCTTAGTTCTCATGGATTGATGGCTTCTTTTCCAAACATGTATCTAGCGTACAAAGGATTATGTACAATACCAGCATCTTCAGCATCTGCTGAACGTACATTTTCTAAGGTATGACAGTAAATTGTATTAATATTTAATTATTAGTTGTTTACTTGTTTACTTGTTTAGTTATAGAAAGTAAAAACAGGAATATGTTAAATTTATTATTACTGATTTTTTTTGTTTTCAGTTGAAAATAATAAAAAATAGATTAAGAACTACTACTCAACAAGACCGTTTGGAATCGTTGATACTATTATCTTCAGAAAAAGATATAGAAATTGATCTTGAAAAGGCAACTGATCTACTAGCAAGATCATCCGATATTTTATCAAAGCAGTTGTTAGCGTCTTAAATTTCATTCATCAATAATACATTTTAACCATTGACTTAGTTACTTATGTTATACTTAAAAATAATCTCTATTCTGAAAGTTACATATTGAAATTGTTCAAATAACCATGACTCATTGATACAACTTGATAACTAAAATAATGTGTAAATACTAAAAAAATAAATAATCAATTAATAATTATATTTTTTTTGTGTTGGTGGGGGGGGGGTCTAATCATATGTATTTGCCCGCAGTTTATATATCACTCACCACGCCACTGTCATGTTAAATATGTATATGTGCAGTATCAGTGGCGTATTTAGGGGGAGGCCCCCTAGGCCAGAGCTTATAGTGAAATTGCAGGTTCAATTAAAACATTGCTTGTATATTTACACTGTTTACAGTTTTTCACCATGATTAATTTAGCCGGTTGATTAAAATCGTTTTTGAGGAACTAACAAGGAAGTGTTAGATTGTCAGGACTTGCTTTGATGACTTTGATGTTAAATTCATAGTAAGATACATTAAAATATGTAAATGAAACTGTCAATATTTTTTGAAAGAGTCAAAAAATTAATTTTACATAATGATTATAAAATTAAATTGCGCAAATTTTATTTTTATTGTATGTCATAACTAGCTATATTTTTTAGGCTTTCATTTATACTTATGATGAAAACATAAAAATGTTGACCCAACGATAAACATTTTATTGACATTTATACAAAAAAAAACTTTATTTATTTATTTTAATTACTGAAAATACTTATTATTCAACGAACACATTGTAGTATATAATATAACACTTGTTAAGTTTTAATTTCACAAACTTATTATTTTACAAAATAAATCTTCTTCGAGATGCTTGTAGCTCTGCGATAGATATCTAATTATTGAACTTATATTATAGCCTATTAACCTAGGTTAATTGTATGAATACTTATTCTTTAATTTAAATATTTAAATAATATATAAAAGGTACCTGTATGTTTTAAAAATTAGATTTATGTTTTTTATCTAATAAATTTGAAATCTATAAATTTGTTCTTTATAAATGTATTTATAGGTTGTTACATTTTTTATACTTAATATATTATATTTTTTATGGTTAATATAAAAATGATATCTTATATAGAATACTCAACAACTTATTATATAATAATCTAATAATTTAATTTAATTTGAACAAGAGTAAAGAATTTATTCTAGTTCAAGGACAGACAAATATAATTTCGTGTTAAAATATTTAAATATTATGTATTATAAAAGAAAATAAATATTTTATTGGCGTCTATGTTATTACTGAATTTCATGTACATGATTTTGTTTATTAGTATTACAGGTAGGTATATAGCAACAGATGTTTTGTTTGATTATAAACAAACAGTAACATTAATTACAATAACTTAAAACAAATTAGTAGGTCATAAAATTTGTAACATTCAATTTTTATTCTAAATTCATACATAATAAAATAAATCCATACAAAGTAAGTTATGCACAGTATTATGTACAGAATAAAATTCAAATAGGTACTTCTCTAAAATTGTATTTATCTAGATGTACTCAACAGAAGACACGACGCAAGAGTTAAAAGAAATTATATCCTGTCAAGAGGATAAAATATGTAAGTTAAATAAAAAACTAGAAGAGTTTGATTCAGTGGTTTCTGAAAGAAATAAATTACGAGAAATTTTCAAACAATTTGAAAAGAGTCATGAAGACAGTATGAACGCCCATAAGAAAGCGTTTTGCGAACTATCAGCTACGTGTGACGAGCAATCGAAAAAGCTTAAGGAATGTGCAAATTCAGAATATCAATGGGAACTCAAGTACGGGAAACTAGAAGATGCCAACAACTGTATGTGTCGTGAGATCAAAATTCTAAAATGTAATGAAAGTAAATTACAATCCCAGTTAGCAGAGACCGAAGTAACTTTGAAATGTGTTCAGAAAGAATTATGTAAAACTAAAGTAAATATTTCCTTTTCTTGATTTTAGAATGATACAATTATGAACTAAAAAAATTGTTAGTCGTTCGTATACACATAAAACGTAATTTTAGATCTTCTAATCACTTTAATACGAATATTATACAACATAATTTCAAATACTTACAAAATATCATACAAAGTTAGGTAATTTATTAAGGTTTATATTTTTCAATAAGTAGGCCGTGTGTTTTGTTTGACCGTTTGACTGTATGGCCAAACATCAATTTCCATGGCGGTGCCTGGTTTATTCACTATCACTAGTCAATAAATATAACGATTAAGAAAAAAATTGCCGAACTATTAGATCTAGGTTGCCTCTGCTGCTTAAGATTATGTTATCCGTTAACTATGCAGAGTCACATAATAATTTATATTATAGGTATAAATTATATGATGAATAATATACTATGATATATGAACTATGAGCCCATCGAATTAATATTTATTTTGCCTATGTGCATTTTTTTATAAGTCACTATAATGGACCAGCTACACATATTAAACTTTAATACTTTACAATAGATATGTTGTTGGGAAGATATTAACATATTTGTGTTTATATTTTTTTAGTCAGAATTGGAAGAAACTCTCTGTTTGGTTAATAAATTGAAGGCATCTTTGAAATGTACCGAACAGGAGCTCTGTAAAGTTCGCAGGGAACTTGAAGAGTGCATGAGTGAATGCAATAAATTGCACGAGATGAACGGGGATTTGACTACGGAGTTAAACTGCACAAAAAAATGTCTATGTGAGGCAAAATTAGCGGCTACGCGTATTGAGGAAAGGTACATACAAGAACGTGAAAATTTAACATGCGAGTTGAAAGCATGTTGCAAAAAAGTTAGTGACTTAGAGATGCGATTAGATGATGCGATGTGCAAGTTAAACGACGAGAAATGTAAATCAAAGAAGTTTGCTTGCAAATTAATAGAATTGAATAAAGTGAGTGCAAGGAATCACTTAGAAATGAAAAACCGGGTACAGAAATTACAAGAAGAAATGTGTGCTAAGAATAACGAAATATGTTGCTTGAAGAAAAGAATCATTGAGTTGCAACAAGAAATTGATTGTAAATGTATGGAAATAAACGAGATGAAAATGAAACTTTACGAAAGAGAATGTCAACTAAAACAAATGTGTTTACTATCGGAAAAAGTTGAGCAAATCAAGTGTTTTGTCGATACTTGTTGCCCGAAAAAGAAATGTTGCCCGAGTCCTTGTTGTTGTCCTAAAAAGAAATGTGGACCGAGTCCTTGTTGTCCGAAAAAGAAATGTGAGCCAAAATGTGAACCTATTTGTTGCCCGCCAACTCCTATTTGTTGTCCGAAAAAGAAATGTGAACCAAAATGTGAACCTATTTGTTGCCCGCCAACTCCTATTTGTTGTCCGAAAAAAAAATGTGAACCTATTTGTTGCCCGCCAACTCATATTTGTTGTCCGAAAAAGAAATGTGAACCTATTTGTTGCCCGAAAAAGAAACCTGATCCTTGTTGTGAACCAATAATGCCTTGTTGTCCGAAAAAAAAATTGGATCCTTTTTGTAAACCATCATGTTCCTCGTCAGACATAAAGCTTGCATGCGGTCTATCAAACAGCACAAAGTGTATGATCCAAAAATATGAAACAAAATTAAATACCGAAGATAACTATACACAGGAATTAAAACAATTGAAATATGACATGGAAGAATTACAACAGAGTATTGGCGAGATCTAAAAATAAATAACTTTTAACTGCCTATTCAAAATAAAAATAGAAAAATAATTTTTTTTAACCCTATCAAAGGTGTGTATTAAGTACTTATTATTTATTTTATGTCTTTGGACTGGATAACTACAAGCATTTGTATTACCTATTTTTCGTAAGGTTTTTGTTGTCGTAGTTACTTAGATACCTACTTAGGTAGCTAAGGTACATTAACAAAAACATATTTACGATTCATAGATTTTCCTTCTTTATATTTAAAAATTAGACTCTTATAACATGTATGTTTCTAATAATATAATAAGTATAATCAGTAAATAATTTTAAGTTTTGTAGATTGTCGTTATTAAGGAAGAGGGAACGTTAAACATTATATAGTGCAGTTGCAGTTCAGCCTTTGAACTAATAACACGTTATTCAGTGCCGTCTTGCTTATTAGTGCGTTTTGTTTTGATTTTACTGTATTACATACAATAGTTGTAAATTTACTTATAAATATCTTTATTTTCTCTAAAATGGAAAATGAAATAGTTTCTAATACAACTACCGAAAAACTCGATTCAATATTAAAATCAATAAATGATATGAAAGTTACTCAAAATAAGTTAATTAACACAGTAAACTTCATCCGCGATGAAAAAAAAAAACAAGACAAGCAGTTCGGGGGTATTGAGTGTAAGTTGGATAGTTTATCTAAGAATATTGAAGACTTTTTCAACGAAAATAAATTATTGAAAAATACAATAAGTAATATTGAGTCTAGATTATCTATCCTTGAGGCTAAACCCTCCCATATTACTTCTGAAGAAATGTATTCTGAAATTATTGATCGTTAAGCTAGAAGTAGAAATGTAATATGTTTTAATGTACCTGAAAATCTTTCTCATTCTGCTACCAATGAAACTCAGTCTATTCTTGAAATATTTCAACAAATGGGTACTCAGGAAATAATTCCAGCAAATATATTTCGACTAGGAAAGGTCTCAAATCAGTGTCGTCCTATTAGAATTACATTACAAAACCAGCATGATGTTTTTACTGTGTTAAAAAACAAAAATAAATTACGTCACTGTGACAAATTTAAACTTATAAAATTGTCCACTGATCGCACACTACTTCAGCGTAACTACTTCAAATCAATATTGGATGAATTGTATAATAGGAAATCCGCTGGTGAATCTGATCTATTCATTAAATATTTTAATAATATTCCTACTGTGTCAAAAAACGTCAGGAATCACGTACAAATGCCAATAAGTTAACGTTATATTACCAAAATATTCACGGTATAAACACCAAACTGGCTGTTTTTACTCGTAATGTTAAACTGTATGATTAAGATGTTATTATCTTAACGGAAACTTGGCTACACAATGAAATTAATGATAACGAACTCGGTCTATTACCATACTATTCAATTTATCGCTGTGATAGAGAAAATCTCATCGACAATAATATAAATGTTTCAGTCAGAGAGGTGGTGTTCTAATGCGATCAAAAGTCACTTTCATTCATACCGCGTCCTACTTCAAGATAATAAAATTGAACAATTATACATAAAATTATCAATAGGCTCATTAATATTACTAATTGGCACTCTATATATACCACCTCAGTCAGATATTAATGTTTATAATCTACATACAGATACTGTTAATAATTTATTAAGTCAATATTGTAATGCTAAAATTACTCTATTAGGAGATTAAAATCTTCCTGGTCTACAATGGTCGGTTGTTAATAACCATATTATCCCTCACTCACTTAAGTATACAAATTTAGAAACAAATGTATTAGCAAATTTTTCATATTTCAATCTTCAACAATTCAATATAATAAAAAATCGTAAGAATTCTATACTTGATTTAATTTTATCAAATTCAACCGATGTTTTAGTTTCGTGTGAGACTGATACGTTATCACCAATCGATTATATGTATCACCCAGCTCTACTTATTACCTTCCCTATTAATGAAAACTGTATTCCCTTACAATATAATGAATTTAAATATGATTTTTCTGTATATAATTTTAATGTTATTAAGTCACAAATTGCATCCATTGATTGGCCAATAGTTTTCAAAGACCAATGTATAGACAGTGCTGTCTCTCGATTCTATAATATTATCTTTGAAATTATTGATAAAAATTGTACAAAAAAAAGTATATATAAGTAAATACCCAGGTTGGTTTAGCTCTGTATTGAGGGACTTAATTTTTAAAAAAAAAATTGCTCACAAATTATATGAACAATCTCCTTCTCAAATTAATTTTAATATTTTTTCTAATCTTCGTGCCCAATGTAAATTTCAGTCCAAGGTGGATTATAGTAAATATATAACAGATACACAAAACTCTTTATTGTCAAATCCTAAACAGTTTTGGACATTTTTAAGTTATAAACGCTCAAACAATTCACTACCTATTTCGATGACTTATGAAAATCAGTCTATATGTGTTGATGGTGAGGAAATAGTTAGGAGTTATGCACATTATTTTTCTAATGTCTATGTCAGTTCAGACACATTCACAACAGATTCTCTTACATTTCGCTCGGCTTTAACCTCTGATTTAAACTTATTTTCTGTAGTCTTAAATATAACTGATGTTTTTAATGAACTTGATACAATTACTTATAAATCTAATCCGGGCCCTGATATGATTCCCAGTATTTTTTTTTCAAACTGCAAATTCGTATTAACTATTCCATTATTGTATTTACATAACCTATAGAGATAGGTCTACTGGTACTTTTCCAACCGTTTGGAAAACAAGTTTTGTTACGCCAATATCTAAGGGTGGTGATATATCAAGTGTAACAAATTATCGTCCAATCAGCCTACTTTCAATAATTCCAAAAATCTTTGAATCTGTTGAAAGTGAAGCTTGACGGACTAATGATGTTACCATTAATATAATAAGTAATAACACGACAATATGATTATGTATAAGTATAATATATAATAACGTACAACTGGACAATTAAACTGTGACAGTACACACACATCGTATACGCTCTGTACAACGACGTCTGTGCAAGTGAATATTACATACATCAAAGGCCCTATATATATGCACGACCGAGGTCATGTTACATCCGTAAAGAGAGTGAGTCTTATGCTCGTACATAACTAGTTACTATATTGTACACACGTGTCAAGGCTGACTACATATACTACATATTAATTGTATATTTCAACACCCTCCCTCAATTAATAATCTCTTTAATTGTAGTCACTCCTATGGCTGACCGCAACTTCTCGAATCGTTCCTTAACCAAAGGCTTGGTTAGAATGTCCGCAATCTGGTCCTCTGTTCCAATGTACTGTAGTTGGAATTGTCCCTCTTCGTATTTCTCCCGTATGAAGTGGTACCGTACGTCTATACTATATGTTTTGTCCGCTTATGAAACTCCGGATTTTTCACTAAACGAATAGCACTCTGATTATCTATAAATAAAACTGGTTGTTTGTCACCTGTTGTCGATAAGCTTGTTATCAACCGTGTAATCCACAAGATCCCTTTGACAGCTTCACTGGCCGAAATATATTCAGCCTCTGTCGATGACAATGACACACTATGTTGTCCTCTGCGATGTCTATGAAATTATGCTTGACCCGTACCTGAATAGAAATCCTGACGTTGAACGTCGTGTCTGAATGTCACCTGCGTAATCTGCATCGCTAAATATTTCTAATGACAATTTTGTTTTGTTATTAAAATACAAGCCATAATTAAATGTTCGCTTGATATATCGTATAATCCGTTTTACCAAGTTCCAATGAGCTTTAGTTGGTTTTGCTAAGTAACGACTAGCAAAGTTTACTGCATATGCTATATCAGGTATTGTTACCTGTGATAAGAACAATAAGCTACCTACTGCCTGCCTATAACGAATATCTTCATTCAATATTTCCGTATCTTCTTTTTGTTCAAGTGTATGTGATTTGTCTATTGGTATTGAAAGTTCCTTGGCGTCCAGCATATTAAATTTATTAATTATGCTACATGCATAATTTGTCTGATGCACAAATAATGAACCATTTTTCATTATATTTACCTGCATACCTAGGGAATAATCTAAGTTTCCTTTTTTAACCTCAAATTCTTTCTCCAAGTTTGTTAAAAGTTTATTTATTATTTCTTCATTGTCTGCAGCGATTAAACCATCGTCTACAAATATTGCCAGAATAATTCTACTATTATATGCATTGAATACACATGCATCCGCTTCGGTACATTGTAAACCAAATGCATTCAAAAAATTCTTAAAGCGTATATTCCAACATCTTGGACTTTGTTTTAAGCCATATAAACTACGCTGAAGCTTACATACTTTATTCGATCCATCTTCGTATCCTGGTGGTTGTACCATGTAAATTTCTTCCTGTAATTCTCCGTACAGAAATGCTGTCTTGATGTCGAATTGTCGTAATATTAACTTTTCCACAGCTGCTACTGCGAATATCGCCCTAATTGATTCGTATCTGACCACTGGCGAAAATGTTTCATGGTAATCTATACCGTATTTCTGTGAACAACCTTTAATGACCAATCTGGCCTTAAACTTATCGATATTACCGTCACTTTTATATTTGGTCTTGAAAACCCATGCGTTACGTAATGCAACCTTGCCCTGAGGCAAATTAACTAGTGACCAAGTGTTGTTTTTGTGTAGTGACGTAATTTCATCACTCATAGCGTGCTCCCACTCGTTTTTCTGTGGGCCAGCTATCATTTCATCACGATTTAGTGGTTCAACGAGATTGGCGACGAACGACGACACATTATACCTGATCGGCGCTTTTAACGTATTCCGATCACGTAGCACCATGCCACTCCTATTGTCGACCGTCGTCAATTCGACCTTGACCGGATCGTCCTCGATTTGAGTCTGAGTATCTGTGAATTCTAATTTGTCTGCAATTATATTTTCCAATTTATTACCTTCGTTTTCGAATATAATATCTCTAGACATTGAAATTTTATTTGTTTTTGAATAATACACACGATAACCTTTGGTATTATCCGAATATTCCTTTTTCACTTTTAGGGTCCCACTTTTTACGTCTTTGCTTTGGTATGAGTGTATATACGACAGTACCAAAAACTCGTAAGTGTTTAATGTCTGGCATTACCTTATAATATAACTCGTATGGTGAGTTATTTTTAACTGAACTGGTTCCTGTTCGATTAAGCGTGTAAACAGCCGTGTTTACCGCCTCCGCCCAAAGTGATACATCCAATTTTTTCGCACAAATCATTGTCCTCGCTGACTCTACTATTGTACGATTTTCCCATTCCACTTTTCCATTTTGCTGTGGTGTGTAGGGAACTGTTAACTGATGTCGAATAACGTGTTTTTGTAAAATACCCGTAATTTCTTTATTTACGAATTCTAATCCATTATCCGTTCGTAATATTTTGACCTTAGAACCTGTTTCTGTTTCAACACTTTTTATGAACGTCTCAAAAATATTTTTAACATCATATTTATTTTTAATAAAATATACCGTTCTATAATGCGAGTAGTCGTCTTTGAATAACAAGAAGTATTTTGAACCGCCTATAGAGCTTACCTCCATTGGTCCACATAAATCTGCATGAATTAAATCACCGACATTGTGATACTCCGTATTACTTTTAGTAAATGATTTACGACTTTGTTTACCTATTATATACAACTGCTGTACATGAATTCGTCGTCCTTGGCCAAACATACTATTTCGTGTTTCGCCAAACAACTTTTTACGTATTGTAAATTTTGATGTGCTATGCGCTCGTGCCAAACAGACAACCTGTTTTCGACAGCTACAGTCGCGTACCCGTTTGTCGGTACTTCGACCTTGATGTTTAACTCAAACAACCTTCCGCATCTCTTACCTGAGCATACGGGTTTCCCCTGTTTAGTTAACATACACGTCTTACTATCTGACGTCATTACTAATCCTTTATCCATCGCGGCACCGCACGAAAATAAATTAAATTTTAGTCCCGGCACGTGCAACACGTTTGCCATGTTATTTTTATTCCAATTACCGTTTACGTATGATAATATATTAATATTACCTCCACCCGCTGCATACAGATTTGTCCCATCACCTATAGTGATTTGTTGAGTGTTGTCCAGTGGTTCATAACTTGAAAACCATTCTCGATTTGCGCTCATATGATTCGAAGCGCCCGAGTCTAGTACCATCTGTTGCAATATTATTTATTCTTGACTCACTTACGAATGCGTTCAAGTTCGCACCTATAGTACCGGTTTTACCACCGTGTACACTTTGTAGAAAATTTCTACAGTCTCTTTTATAATGACCTAGTTTACCACAGTAATAACACTTAATATTACTTTTATTAGTTAATTGATTTTTACCTTTTCCATAATTACGACTGCCGTTTCTTCCATCAGATCTGTTTTAAAATTTCGCCGGAAATGCACTCGATTTCTCTTGTTCACCAACTTCACCTTCGATCTGGATAACCCGTGATTCTTCAATCAACAATCGACTAGTCAAATTATTTATATTTTTACTTCCCGTTGGGACTGAATCCCAAGCACTGTAGAAATGATTATATTCTTTTGGTAATGTCATTAGTATTTTTGTCATAACCATGTTATCCGTAACTGGTTCACCCGCTACTCTCAGTTTCCTTCCTAAATTGACCAATTTAGAAATATTCGTCGACATGTCATCTGTCGACTCCTTTGAATAACTGAAAAATTGTTATTGAAGCAAATGTAAACTTGCCTCAGACTTCTGCTCGTAAATACTCAGCAGTTTCTCCCACATTTCCAATGCAGTCTCACAGTTAATCAAAAATTGTAATGGACCATCGTCCACTGAGGTAACTATTATTTTCTGACATTTACCGTCCACTTTTTGCCAAGCGTTTGTATGCCTTTGCCAACGTGCTTTGGCATCCTCGTCGGTCTCTCCTGCCGACTTTTTTATAGGTAGACTTGGTTTCGTCCATTCACCTGAAACTATCTCACCTACTTCCAAGGCATTTAGAATGACCTTCACCTGGAATTTCCATAACGACCAGTTTTCCGCACATAATTTTGTTATCTTCATCGTGTCTTCCATGACCGATGGTTTCCCGTATACTTTCCTGTATAACAATTTATAACAAAACTTTACCTATGTACACTGTTCCGCCGTTTTCCGAAATCCAGGATATATCCGACTGGTTGTAGTTTTCTGCGTTAATACAAATCTGGACCTTGGGTCTAAAAGGGCCAATTTCACTATTTAACACTTTTGGATAATAAACAATTACGTTTTTTTTTTACTTCAAAAATGCATATAAATTTGAATTTTTATTGTATGCATTTTTCCTTTTGCAATCATCATAATATAATTATATACTACCTAATGGTAAACATTTGGTTTTTTAATGTTCTTATTTAAGTATTTTTTATTGACATTGGCCCTATGATAATCAGTATTTATAAAAAAATATGCAACATTGGCCCTAAAACCACATCATCAATGTTTATAAAAAATATTTTTTATATCTAGCCTTACACTTCTTAGGTTTAGTAACAATTAATCAAAACAATTGATTTTTCATTTTTATATTTATTTAATATTTATATATTAACATAATTTGTTTTAAAATAAATATAATAAATTAACACTCACTAAAATATTATATTAATAGGGTAAAAATAACTTTCTTATGTAACATTTTATAAGATTAAAGATATTATTATTATTATTATTATTCAGCCTTGAATATTTGTTACAGTAACCTTATAACAAAATTAAAAACAAACTATAAAATAATATTCAAAATAACAACTTAATTTTTGTTTTTAATACAAAAAAATACTTTTTATATCTAACCTTAATCTTTTTAGGTTCAATAACAATTAATCAAAACAATTGAGTTTCATTTTTATATAAATTTAATTTTAATATTATATATGCATAATTTGTTTAAAGATAAAATATAACAAATTAATACTCACTAAAATAATATTATATTAATAGGATAAAAATAACTGTCTAATATATCAGTTTCTAGGATATTATTATTATTCAGCCTTGAATATTTGTATTTCAAGTGGTAGAAGGTTAGTGTGTAGAGCATGTAGTTCACCTAATTCACAAGAACGTCTGATTTTTTTTGTTAAGTCCAATATTTTAAATGTTTGGTTTTCATCACAGAAGAAGGAATGTTTATATAAAATATTTCCAAAATTATTAGTCATTTACTTCATCCACCTAATCTTATTCCACCCCACAGCTTCACCATCAATATTAATTTTTTTATGTATAAATACTTTACCAATTAACTCTTTGAAGTTTAAAAAGTTGTATTGCTCCATTTGTATTACATTTATTGGAGGCTTTCTTGGAACTGAACTTATGAGTATAGCCCAGTCTCTTGGCAATTCAATATCTATCATTGTACGTTTTTTTTGTTTTTCAATGGCTGCATGAATTGTATCTGCCTCCATGTGTGTATGACCAGGTATTAAAAATGTATGATGGATAATCAGATCTCTTCCTTTTTCTTTCAAACAACCAACTAAGTGCAAAAACATTACAGTCATATAAATATTTCTGTTCTGACCTGGGCAGCAATCACTGTAAAAGATGATCTCTTTAATACTATCACATTTATCAAGTTTATCATTAACATATTTATAAATACAAGATGCTACTTCTTGACCACCACGATTTGCTTTAGTTTCATCCCATAGATAACAATATGAATAGTTTTTATCACCATATGTCTCATATATAGTTAAATTGAAAGTCCATAATATTGTCGCTTGTAGAAAGAAAGACCACTAGATAAGAATGGTGTAGCTAAACATTTTTGTAAATCAAATGACACAGTTAATATTTCATTGTTAACAGTACTTAGAGCTTTATCTTTTTTTTTCTCCTCATAAGCCATTTCAGCCATTTGTAAATGTACATTTTTTTCTTTAATTGTATCTTGTATTTCTTCATTCACAGTGGAGCATTTCAAAATAGTTTCAAACTTATCGCATAGCTGACAAGTATCAATATTTGGTATTTTGAAAGCTAAATTAAATTCCTCAACAAAAATTTTCCTGTACATAAATTCACTAAGAATATTAAAGTGGTTTTCTGTGAAATGGTTTTTATAAAGATCATACATTCTACTTATAGAAAGATCTGGATTCAAAAAATACTTTTTATTAGTTTTGTTTCTAGAGTAATGACTTTCTTTGAATGGAAACATTTTAATATGATCTCTTATATTATTTTTATCTAGGTCAGATGTTTTTGGATGATTTGAATGATGTCCTCTACCATCTGTCAAACATATACCTGCACCTGTTATCTTTTTTTTGCCATAGTAACTCTAATTTTTTTCAAGCTTATATTCAATGTGTTCATAAACATAACCTGACATACTTCAATTTGTATATTATTAATTCCTGTGAGAAAGTATTTTCTTGAAAATTGTCTTCTACTGGGTGTGGAGTTTTGTTTTATACGTTCAGTTTTTTTAGGGTACTCTTCTATATTATTTGATATGAACTGGCTTTGTCCTTCTGATTCCAACTTATAAAAATTATCAAAAATAACAAACATTTGATCTGTGTCAATTTTTTCAAAGCATTTACGTTTACATGAACAAGGGGGCTTCAATGTTTTTGCTGGAACTAATTTACCTTTTGTAGTTATATAACTTTTGCCTTGCATCTTTGACGTTTTCCTTACATTTTTAGTCCAACCTTCTGGATTTCTTTTACGTTTTCTTGTCAGTAATTCATCAGCCAATTTTTTCCTACCACCACCTCTTAAATTTATGAAAAATCCTTGAGGATCAATTGGTTGTTGAATAGTTGTACCAAGTTCACCAATAAATTCTATATCTTCAACAATACTTATATCTCTAGACACACTAGGGAAGTTCACCACTAAATTTCAGAATACCAAAATATTAGAGTGAGTAATTTAATAATGAAAAAAATATCTAGTTATTTTATTTTCAATACTTTAAAATATACTATTTAGTATTATTCCAATAATATTTTATAGTATTGAGTTTTTAGTTTATTTGTATATAATAATAGGTGCCTAGTAATAATAGTATAATATGAAATTATTCTATTATAAAATATTATTATTTCTGTAAAGCAAACATTATAAAAGTATATACTATTAATTTACCTTCAATATCAAAACTCTCATCATTATCATTGTTGTTTTCAGGATTTAGTGTATTTATCAAGTTTTCGGGATTAATCTCAATAAAACCTAGGATATTTCAAACAATATATTTTATATACATTACTTTTAAGTATAGAAATTATGGTATAATTTTAGTGTGTTACCTACCATTATTATTTAGAATATCGTCATCACTACTTTCTTCAGACTGAATATTTTTGGTTGGTGGAATATAAAATTCATCACTAGAATAATCATAATTTACACAACCAGATTCACTTTCGGATTCGACTGTATTTTCTAGATTTAAATATGATAGTATTATGTATAATAATATGTATAATATTAAATAAAATAATATTTTTAAATATGACCAATCAACTACAATAGTACCTTTAACTGTTTTGTCGTTGCACATTGACAACAGCTGCTTCGATCTCTTACTCATTGTAATGATTTAAAAATAAATAACTGTTTTAAAAAATATTGAACTATGAGTACTACACATTCGATATTAACAAAAAATTGTTCGACGATGTAATGTTTACTTGTTATTAAAATATATTAATTATTAATTTTAATATTTTTTTCGTTTAATATAGAATAGAATATTGATAACACTATCAATAAACAACGTCAACATGACCAATGATAAGACAATATTTTTATTTAATTTTATCATATAAGGGCCAAAGTACACATAAGCCTTATAGTTTTATGAATTAGATAATGACTATAAAGACTTAAATCAGATAGGTCACTATAGAAATAGAAATAATGTTTTTATTTGTAACATTGGCCAATCTGTTTCTTGTAATTTTAGTGATCAAGATACGCCCTTCTAGCACAAGAAAATATACATAAAATTGTATATGTTAAGCCATTTATCTCATTTTCACCAAAAAGTGAGATTGGCCTTTTTAGACCCAAGGTCCAGAAATATAAAAATACTTCGATCACGAATCCACTAGACTGTATGTCTTGGTTATTGACTGGGCCCATAACCTGTTGAAAGTGAAGCTTGACGGACTAATGATGTTAGCATTAATATAATAAGTAATAACACGACAATATGATTATGTATAAGTATAATATATAATAACGTACAACTGGACAATTAAACTTTGACAGTACACACACATCGTATACGCTCTGTACAACGACGTCTGTGCAAGTGAATATTACATACATCAAAGGCCCTATATATATGCACGACCGAGGTCATGTTACATCCGTAAAGAGAGTGAGTCTTATGCTCGTACATAACTAGTTACTATATTGTACACACGTGTCAAGGCTGACTACATATACTACATATTAATTGTTTATTTCAACAGAATCAATTATATCAAAAAAAAATAACTCCCCTACTATCTCAATTAGTATGTGGAGACCAACATGGTTTTTTAAGTGGTAAATCAACAACTACAAATCATTTAATCTTTCATAAATTAATATTAGACGCTTTTGCTTCTAGATCCCAAGTCGACGTTATTTATACAGACTTTTCTAAAGCGTTTGACAAGATAAACCATGCAATACTCATATCTAAACTTCATAACATGGGTATTTAGGACCCATTTCTGTCTTGGATTTAATCCTATATATCAAACAGGAAACAAATTATAAAGTATGCAAATTACAAATCGAATCCTTTTGTTGTAACATCCGGTGTACCTCAGGGCTCTCACTTACCTCCTTTATTATTCCTATTATTTATTAATGATTTAATTTTTTTACATTCAAGAAACTTCTTTTTGCCGATGACTTAAAAGTATTTCGACAAATAAATTCTCACAACTATACAATTTTATTACAAAATGATTTGAATATATTGTTGGATTGGTGTTCTATTAATAAACTACCATTGAATATTGATAAATGTAAAATTATATCTTTTACTAGATCTCGGGATCCACTTATAGCATCTTATAATATTAGCAGTCTCCTTTGTCACGTGTTCATGATATTAGTAATTTAGGTGTAATTTTTGATTCTGCTCTCGCATATAATAAACACTTATTACACACGGTTAGGAAAGCCTCTATGATTTTAGACTTTATTACTAGAAATTGTAAGGATTTCACTAATCCTGCTGTTTTTAAAACATTATACAATAGTTTAGTCCGTTAAAAATTAGAATACAACACTATTGTTTTGTCACCTTACTTAAATTATCAAAGTCAATGTTTAGATAATATTCAAAATCGTTTCCTACAATTTATGGCCTTCAAATGTTATTTAAATCGTATGCCTCATTCTCCTTATGAACCACTATTACGTTATTTTGATATTGGTAGTTTATCTGAACGAAGAAAAATATTTGATATGAAATTCTTATTTAAGCTCGTCATAGGTCACATCAATTGCCCTGAAATTTTAGGTTTTCTTAATTTTTATGTCCCTCAGTGCAGAACTAGATCAACCACTATGTTTTATATTTTTACACATAAAACAAATTATATGCCTGCTTCTCCTATGAATAGGATAATGTCAATATCAAAGGATTTAAACATTGATTTATTTAGTTTTAATTCCATTGAATTATTTAATAATTATGTAAACAAAATTTGTTGTATTTAAATATGTAGTAGGTACCTACTGCTTATTATTCATTATTATTGTATTATTACTGTATTATTATTGTATTCTAATATTCAGTTATGAACTATGTTATTTTAAATTATTGTAATTGGATCGTCTGATCCGTTGAAATAAATAAATAAAAAATAAAAAAAAAAATAGCTATATGGCCATATAGGTAGGTATTATTATCAAAGTTGATATAAGTAAAGCCTACATATAGGATATGATAAAACCACCTTTGATTTAGGTACCTAATGGATTAAACCTTTTTCGTAGTGAAGCTACTACTTTTCAGCACAGTGGAGCATTAGTTATGCTTCAATATAAAAATAATTATGAAATTATAAATGTTTAAATGTATAAAATAAAGTTGTGTTACCTTGCAGGTGAAAAATTATTAAAATATTGAAAACAAAATAATGTTGCCATATAATTTCCTATTATAATTAATTTAAAAGCCCAATGGTATAATGAGTTTTAATTTGTTAATTAAGTTTGATAGAATTTTGTTTTTTAAATTATATGTATGTTATATTATGTAAGATATAACTATAAGCTTATATTATACTTTTAAATTTTGTTTTGTCAATTTAAAGGATTTTATATTTTCAAAACCGATAAATAATTTAAGTATATATTTATTGAATTTACACTGGCAATAAAGCTAACTTTAATTCATCACAGAAGGTTAGGTTAATTAAAGATAACAATGTTATTGAGGCCCCAGGTAGCCTTTCTTCAAAAACTTAATTTTATGAAAAGTTATATTCATTTGAAAATGTTGAAAAGTATATACTTCTTAACGTTGTAGTAGGCCTTAAATTTGGAATACAAAAAAATTACTACGTGGGGCCCTCAACAATATTGTTCTCTTTAATTTTGTTCATCGGTGTTTTAACAATAAACCACTCGGTTTTATTAGTAATCTTTGATGCTTTGCTTTGCTTTGTATAGACCTACTCTGTTTCAAGCTTTTCCGCTTCTTCCAGAGAGTATGAAGTGTTATTGTAGATTATTTATTGGAGTTTTTTTTTTTTTTTTATAATCTTTGAACGCGCAAGACATGTTTTATAAGAAAATCGCATTTTTTACTATCGACTAGGGTGCCTTGATAGAGAGAGTGTGGCCATACGGAAAGTTGCTCTGATTGGATGAAAGATTTGATTGTTTTTACATGCACTATCATAGATTATTTTTACTTTAAAAACGATTTAGTATATTGCATTTGTTTTATTTAGTTGTTGCTATTTTTTAAATCGTGAAACTATAATATTTTTCAAAATTTGTTTTAATTTTTGTAAGTTTAATATTTAGAATAGGTACATGTATATTCATCATTCATTTTCAGCTATATACAATGTACCTACCCACCTGATACCCTTTATTTCTAATCATAACATACAATTCTTTAGAGTATTTAATATAATAATAATAGGTACCTACACTTTATAAAATGCACTATAGTTTAAACACAATTTGAAAAATGCCTGGGTGCGCAGCTGTTGGATGCACAAATTCTAACAAAAAACGATTTCTCATGAAACATTTCCCTATAGATGCTGCCAGAAGGAAAATGTGGTTGGAAAAAATGAAGAGGGATAATTGGGTACCAACAAATTATTCATGCTTGTGTGAAGTAAGTAGATTACCTAAGTATATTTAAATAACTAATTATAGTTGATTTAAAAAAGTTTAATATAGCATATAGGTACCTACCTACATGTATTTATTATTTAATGTGTATTTATCAGAGTATATTTTCTGAAGAGGAAGTAGCTACCTACCTACGTCATTTTATACATGTATAATATTGTATATTAGCAATTATTTTACATTTTATATATTCATTTAACTTGACATAGGTATTTCAAAATATATTTATTTTTATAAAAATTAATAAATATAAATATAAAATACTATTCTCAAAAGAAATTTGCTTATGTAGGTATCTATTTATTGTTGAAATAAAGTAGGCTGAAAAAATATTCATTGTCCGTTTAACTTGATATTTATTGATGTTTTATTTTGCAGCTACCTATCTAATAAGTACTACATGTAATTAAGATAATTTTGAATTATAAGACTATATAATATTCATTAATGATTTTAAGGTTCATTTTGAAGATCAAATGTGGGAAAAAACAAGAGAAGGTGGTAGCAAACGGTTAAAATGTGACGCTGTGCCTACTCAGTTTTTTTTACCTTATCTTGTACTTATGCTTGGTGGCATAAGTACAAGATGGAAAAAAACAGTAGCATATTTTTTTACCGGGAAGTCTGTTAATGGCAATGTTTATCATGATATTGTAGTTGATATAATTTCCAAAACAGAGTCTATAGGATTGAATGTTGTTGCTCTTATATCGGATATGGGGCCCAGTAACCAAAGTTTGTGGAGGAAATGGAATATAACTGCTGGTCGTCACTGTAAATTGTCAAACTTTCTACCTCTTCCCCTTGATGACAATAGGAAATTGTTTGTTATTCCAGATGTACCTCATCTTTTTAAGAATATTAAGAATATGTTAGTAAGAAATATTTATTAGCAATAAAATACATCAACTTTACAATCTTCCTACAAATAAAATTAGTTCAAATCATATTGAAGATGTTATTAAGTATCAAGAAAAATTAGATTTTTCATTAGTTCCTAAACTGTCTGAACAAGATTTGATGCCAAACCATTTTCAAAAAAGGTGGGCAAGTGGGTGTCGCTCTGCTGTACAGTAGGTTACAAGTGGGTCACTGTATAATGGATGGTATTAAATTTGAATTCAATGATATAATATCATTGTATAAGAAAAACGATTCTGAGCGGTGACAGTATGTAAGTCTATGTATAAGACATATGATATACATATCTATGGTATTAAACAAAAAAAATGACCTATAATAGGTACCTATAATAAATTCCAAACTAATCATATCACAATATCCATTAGATACTTATAACGCGTTATACATCAACAAAAACCGTGATACTGTCATAGATATATAATAGTACACTTTAGAAGTTTCAAGTACCCACGAATAATATTATTCAATCACAACAAAATAACTAAAATCGTAATTCTTGGTTTAAATATGAAATTTTCTCTAAAGTTGAAATTAAAATGTCTGTAAAAAATAAGTGTGTTTATATATTTTTTAGATTTTTTGGTTACAGTATGAATTATTTAAGAGAATCTTTGTTTTAAATTTTCAACTCTTAGTTATAAAAACTGAACGTTTTATAATTTTTTAATTCCAACGATTGATAATTTTCGAGATTTTGATAAATTTTGTCAAAATTCCAACTTTAAATGCTTATAAAAAAAAATCGTGCCTATGTATTTTTAATATTTTTCAACTGATATTGTAACAATATATCAGGAGCCTTGTATTAAATTTTTACACTTTTTGGCCCAACAGATAAGACTTTATTGATATTTATAGAAAAAAAAACTAAAAAAATTGAAAACTGAAAATGTCCGTTAACTGGTCAAAAAGAGTCGAAATATTTTCAAAATTGTATGGTGTATAGAAAATGCTAATTTAAACATTCAGTGAAATTTTCATGTATCTACAGTTGTTCGTTTTTGAATTGCAACAAAATAAAGAAATCGCTACATGAGTAATCGAGTGAATATCCAATGTTGTAAAAATTTGAATTTCAAACGCTCATAAAAATTTAACTTGACTGTCCGGTAGAGATTTTTTTATTGATAAAGGTAAATAATCTTATAAGGAATCTTGTGTTTCATTTTCAAATCTTAGATTTAAAAAGAAGATTTTTACAAATTCAAAATAATTTGCTAATTTTCGTGATTTTTCCATATTTTGTCAATTTTTGAACTTTAAATGCTTATAAAAAAAAATTGTGACTAAGGATTTTTAATATTTTTCATCTGCCTTTGAAACAACATATTAGGAGTATTCTATTAAATTTTCAAGCTTTCACAACCAACAAATAAAATTTTATTGATATTTTTAGAAAAAAAACTAATAAAAAATGGAAAATGGAAAATGAAAATGTCCCTAAACAGTTCAAAATAAATCAAAATATTTTGAAAATGTTATCGTGTATATAAAATGCAATTATAAACAACCAGTGAAAATTTCATGTATATACGTTCATTTGTTTTAGAGTTACACCAATAACCAAAATCGATTTTTTGGAAAACCAATTTTGCGTAAAAATTCCCGTTTTTCTTTAATTTTTATGTTGTTTTTCCCGGCGCTTGTGAAAACTACTGGGAAATTTATACTTTTGAACCCCCAAAGTACCAACTAGATTCACTTTCCTATCAGAAAAGCTACTGATGAAGAAAATCCAAGCACTTTTACTGTCCTAAAACGTGATGACAGACACAAAAATATAAAAAAAAATATAAAAACATACATCATTGTAAAACCAATACATTCATCGCTCCGCTCAGAATCTAAAAGTGAAGGTTGGAAAATCAACTAATGTAATAAATCATGATGTATATACTGCCTTAAGATTCTTGTCTGAAGAATGAAATAAGCCAGAATATCTTACAACTGCTTGGTTCATTAACTTAATAGATAGATGGTTTTCTTTGATGACGTCCAGACATCCTGTTTTAGCTTTAAGCAAATTGAAACCAGACATTTATGAAGAAACTATACAATTTTTAAATATTTTTATAGATATTATGTCAGGTCTAGAAGTAGGACATAAAAGGATGTGGAAACCGTCTCAAACTGGTTCCATACCAGCAACAAAATCAATTTTAGATATTCAAAAAATTTACCTACCTAATTGATAAAGGATTTAAATTTCTCTTGACTTCAAGATTTACTCAGGATTGCCTTGAAAATCTATTTAGTATTTTGAGATCAAAGAACATAGTACCAAATGCATTGCAAGTGAAAAATAATTTGAAATTGTTATCTGTATCTCAATATTTAAAGGAAGTATCAACAGGGAGTTATGAGGAAAATGACAGAACATTTTTATCGGGATTTTTGGACACTTTAAACACTAAACCAATTGAAAACCAATTACAAAACATTCAGCTGCCATCAGAAACAAGTGAACCTGAAATCAAACTTTGCAATGGTGAGTTCAACTCTTTCCAATGTATGAGGCTATTTAATATTTAGTATTAAAAAAAATCAAAAATGTGTACTGATTGCTTGAGTTCAGTAGGCTCTAAAAATAGCATTAATGCTTCTTTTGCAAAGTTATCTAAACTAAAACGCTATAAAAAGGATGCTTGTTTTTTTGTAACGAAATTACATTTAATTATTTTTTGGTCATGGAAAACATTTTCAGAAAATATTATAATACTGTGAAAAATCAAAATTGTAACATAAAAAAATTTTTTATTGAACAAATGAAAAAAATTGAAATTCAACACATTCCAGATTGTCATAACTTAAAGTATACTATTATATCTAGATTTGTTCGTTTCCGCTTAAAAATAACTGGGAAAAAAAAAACTTAAGCTTCTTAATAAATATAGTAGCAAATCTATTGCTTCGCATGCTTAGAGAATTATTATTTTTAAATTGTATTTCAAATAGATTTTATTTTTTTTAAAATATTTTTTGTTTGGATACATCTTCAAAGTTTAAATATTATTTTAGAGTTTAGGTTTATGCTCTTATGATTAAAAATTATACTTATGCTTATTATACTGTTTTTAATTCTGTTTTGCGTTTGGCTATTATAATATTATATTCCTATTAGACATTAAATAATTTGTTGTTTTGTTTAAAATTTTTTAATTTTGTATTTTATGTGTAACATAATTTTCTTTTACTTTTAGAAAGAATATAATGCAGCTAATGAATAGTGCTTTCAAGCTAAAAATTTTAGGTATGTATAATATGATATTATAACAAAATTAATGTGCTTATTTATTATTGAAAGAATTTAATGCAGCTAATTAATAGTGCTTTCAAGCTTAAAATGTTAGATATGTATAATATGATATTATCACAAAATGAATGTGCTTATTTATTATTAGGTATAATTTATATTATAACAATGATTTGGTTTTAATGTATTACTTTAATTTTCAGATGTGCAATTACTAAATGATGTTACAAGAGTTAGTACAAATGTTACCTAACATTTACAATAAATTGCTTTCCTACTACCATAATACATTTTTATTTTACATAATTATCATGGCGAAACCATACTTACCATTTACTAGTAAAAATAGATATTATTTTTTTTAATATAATTTAACAGGGCATATATTACTTGATAATTTGTAACTGTTCTTTTTAAAATAAATATTCTATATTTGTTAGAATATAATAACGAAATCGTAAGACTATATAACATGTTATTAATTAAGACTCTATCATAAATCTTAAAAATTAATATTTGAGAAGAAATGAGAAAAGTTTAAACGAAACTATAAAATAACATGTAATACGTTAATAACTGGTATATACTGAAATTTTAGTTTAGCCAACTAATGGCGGCCTAATCTCTTATCTTATCTTATCACTCCGTATGGCCACACTCTCTCTCACGAATTAAAATATACTGGATACCCAACGATACATGATAAGACGCTCCTAAACTGACTTTCAATGTGCAAAGGTGCACTAGCGCTCCAACGGAATTAAATGTATACTAATGGATTGACTATTTAAAATTTAAAATATTATATTATTATGCATAAAGTATAAATAACAAATAATATGATGATTTTTTCGAATGATTAATTTAAAACATTCAAGCATTTCCTTATTACTGACTACTGTAGTCTGCAATATAATAATTAATAGGTACCATTCTAATTTCTAATTATTCAATATTCTACTATGACAAAATAGATTAATAAAGTGTTAAGTGGAAGGTAAGTAGTATTAACTAATAGCATAGAACAATAGGTACCTACTACCTAGTAAAAGAAAAATACACATTTAATTATTTAATGAATATCAATTACATCTTTTTTATTACATAGTACATATAATTTTACATATTTATTAATATAGATACCCAATACAAATTGCATAAAATACTTACAAAATTATTAATTACATACCTATACAGTTGAAACTTCAATTAAATTAGTCAACAAATCATGTTTTAACTAATTTGGATAATTTTTTTTTGTTTTACTTTGTTTTTTTGAGTTTTGATTCATAAAGTAAGAATACTGCCTCATTCTCATAGTTATATAATATGAAAAAATATTTGTTAATATATCAGCTTGATGTTCTAAGCAAGGAAACTTTAAACCAATATTCAAGCTAAAAAATTCATTATATGTATCTTCAAACACATCACAATTCACAAGAAGTGGCATGTTTTGAAAAACATGTTTCAAGATGTTTTAGTATTAAGTATAAATTTCGATCTGGATGAGTTAGGTATCCTCTAGTTTTATTATTAAGTAAATCAGCTTCACTACCGACAAAGTATTTAAATTTTTTATACTTACTATACATAACTGGCACTTAGGGCCGCTTTCACCAATACTTTAAACTCCGATTAAAGTTAAACCGGGGTTTAATCGGCCGAATTTGCCCGGTTAAATATCTGTTATCAGTCGATTAAGCGTAATCGAAGTTTAAAGTATTTGGTGAAAGCGGCCCTAAGTACTCTTTACCAATCGTTTAGCAATGTACCTATTTGAAGTAGGTAAATAAGGTAAATAATAGTGTTATTTAATTAATGCTATTACCTAATTCATAAAATATTTTACCCAGCCATAAAATAAACAACACAGTCAAAAACTGTAGAGTCTGCGTAATCATGCTCAAACAAAAAAATATTTTGAATTAATGAAAAATGGCCAAAATGGGAAATCTATTACAGTTATAAACACGAATTAAGATAAACATCTATTTTAATTCTTGGTTCTAAACAATGTCCAATGATAGTAATTAACATGACGAATTGACGAATCTATTTTGTCATGGTAATTTATTTAATTCCAAATATTTACAAATTTGGCGGTAAATTATTTTGTAAAAGTTGCCACAAATATGATAACAAGCGCTAGGTGTAGTTTGCAACAGCTGTTCTGACAAGTCAGTTTGGGTCCAAGAAAAATAGTTGTTCATATAGGTCGTTGGGTATCCAGTATATTTTAATTCGTGCTCTCTCTATCAAGGCGGATCGCTACCAATTGTTCCAACTTTTTTTTATTCCAATTTACAATTGTCCCAATACAATTTTTATCAAAAATGATATTCTTTCACAACAAAAAATTCTCCCAATTTATTATTAACCCAATTTCTATTGGGAGTGTTTCATTGTGCCAAAAAAATATTGTCCCAATGAGCAGTTCTCCCAATATTTGGAGAATTGGTTATTGGGTCAATTTTAATTAGATATACATTGTATTGGAAGAATTATCACTTGGATTTGTGGACGTATAAGGAAAAAAATATTGTGCAAGCCAGGAAACAACATTTTTTTTATTCCAATTTATATTTGTCCCAATACAATTTTTATCAAAAACAATTCTTCCAATTCATTATCAACCTAATTTCTATTTTCCCAACGATTTAACTTAGTTAATAGGTCTATGATTTACTCCCAATCACGGACTAAGATAGAAATACAGTTAGGGCCAGTTGTTCCAGTCTAGTTTAAACTAAGTTTAAATTAGATTTTTCTTAAACTCAGTTTAATACCAAATCATATGTTGTACAAGACTAGTTTAACATTTAAACCCAGTTTAAAAGCAAGTTTAGATAAACCATCGATCTTGATGGTTTAAACTATGTTTAGCAATATTTTTGCCATAGATCCATCATCCATTCATTTGGACAATTATGAATTATTATTTATTATACTGTGATATTGTGATCATTTGTGTTCTCAAAATTTATTGTGCAAATAATTATTTCTACTTAATTAAAAATGAATAACGAAATATCGGAGGATGAGGATTTTGTTGAACTTATAAACTTTATTGCGAATGAACATCGAATACCAAGAATATTCAGGCAGCGTCCAGATTATTTTCAATGTCTTCGTGATTTTGAGTTTGTAGAAAGGTTTCGTCTATCAAAACCAGCAGTATTGTATGTACATGATCTAATTCGACCAGAAATTGAACATCCAACAGACAGGTAATTAAAGTTATGTACAACTAACAAGCTAAGCTTTCCTCCAGGATATGCGTCTGAATAAAAATAAAATAAAATACCAAATAGTACTTAATAATAAAGAGGACAAGTGGGTTAGGTTACTCTGCGCCTCTGTTGTACCTACAGTAGTTAGGATTGCATTGTATGCTAACTATGCATTGTGTTATATTTGAGTTCAATGATAAATCATTGCATATAGTGTAAGCCTGTGAGCATCTGTTAACATTACAAAAAATGATACTGAGTGGAGACGTTGTGTCCTCCTATAAATAATCCTAATATAAATTATCCAATTTAATAATTTAAATAAAAAATTTAAAAATTGACTATATCTTACTATTATGTAAATAGCTTAACATTCTGGTAAAATTGATTACTACTTACTTTGTTTGTTAAGGGTAGAAAAAATTATGAGGAATCTTCTATTCAATGTATAATGTTACCTAGCTATGAAAATAAAAACATTTAATAATTTATAACTAAATAATTTACAAAATTAAGCCCTCCACAATCTAGATGTTCTACTCTGTAGGGGTAGGTGGGTATAAGTTATTATTAAATTCATTGATACACTTAAAACATATTACTTCGGCACTACTAATTCTGAAAAATTTTTGTACTAACTGATATTTTATTTTATTTTATTTTACCTTAAGAATGTAGGTATTACATGGATTTCATAATTTTACAGGAACTTTGCCGTTACATCAAGACAAATGATACTAATGAATTTGAGGTATTTTGCGTCAGGTTCGTTTTTGGTTGTGTGTGGTGATTTTGTGGGGGTGCATAAATCAACTGCTTCAAGAACTATAACACGTGTATCAAGAGCTACAGCTAGACTTTGTTCTAAGTTTATTAGGTTCCCTGAGACAGAAGAAGAAATTTCAGTAACTAGGCAAGAGTTCTATGCAAAATGTAAATTCCCAAGGTGCATTGGTGTTATTGATTGCACCCATATCAAAATTAGATCACCTGGAGGGGAGGATGCAGAAATATATCGAAATCGAAAACAATACTTCTCTTTTAATGTCCAGGCAATATGTAATTCAAATCTTAAATTTATGAACATTGTAGCAAGATGGCAAGGTAGTGCTCACGATTCAACAATTTTTAACAACTCCGCAATACGAGGAAAATTTGAGAGAGGAGAAATGGGTGATAGTTTACTCATAGGTGATAGTGGATATCCAATCAGACCATTTCTATTGACAAAGTTGTCAATTGCATCAACACGAGCTGAACAATTATATAACGAATCAATAATAAGAACGAGAAATTGTATTGAAAGAAGTTTTGGAGTGTATAAGCGTAGATTCCCAATTTTATCAGTTGGAATAAATATCCATGTGTCAAAAGTTGAATCAATCATTGTGGCAACTGCAGTATTGCATAACATTGCTATAGACTTAAATGAAATAGTACCCAATATAAGTACAGAAATGGAAAACCTAATCAATCTATCATTTTTTGAACAAGGGACGGATGAACAAAATCGTCGACTTAATGGGGCAAATGAAATTACAAGAAACATTTTAATTAGATACTTTGAAACAATGTAAAATTGAATTTGTAGTTATCAAGAGTTATCAAGACAAACATGATATAATAATTTAATTTAATATAGATTAACAATTTTAAACAAACAGTTTTTTATAGTATGGTAATTGTATATACCTAACTATTGATTTCGAAAAGCCTTTAATTTTAAATCTAAAAGTTCCATTTCTTTGGCATGCTTTTGATTCATAAGCTCTATTCTTTGATCTGATTCTCGTTTTTCTATTTCAACAAAGTTCTTATGTCTGGAATTCATTAATTCAATCTTAACGTCATGCTCGTTCCTCATTAGTTCTTCCTCAAGTCCTACTAAGTTTGTTTTGGAAGAGGCCCATTTAGTAAGCTTATCTTGTAATGGACGGTTACGAGCACGGCCTACATTGTGATATTTTAATTATTTTAAATACATTTGCAATTATACTTTGGAAACACCTATACATCATTGAAAATCAAGAAATTAATATGTTTAATGATATTTAATAAATTTGTCAAGCTTAATAAATTTGTTACCTTGGACAATTTTTAATTTTCATCAAGTTTCTAAATCATTATAATGGAAATGTATGTATACTGCAAACAAACTTACTCTACAAAAATAACATTAACATTTATTTTCCATATAATATAGTTGAAAATGTATATAGAATTATATATATATTTATAGAAAATTGTTGAAAATTTAAAATTGTCCAAGGTAACTTAATATTGATAAATTCATTAAAACTTTTTACTTTCTTTATTTTAATCAAGTAAGTATGGTCAATGAAATGAACTAAATTTTTAAAATTTTAAGTTTTATTTTTAGGAAAAAATAATAGTTGACTGATAGCTCATTACAATGATCTTGTCAATTAAATACAAAATGTGAAATTAAAAAAAATGTGTTTGGAACACGGATATGGGTAAAACGTTTTATGAAATATGAAATTATAAAGTTAGGTACTTACTACTTAATAAAAAATAATATTTCATTATTATTTTCATTATTATTATTATTAAACTATACTATACTACGTATTATTATCAAAGTTTAACTTTTCAATACAATCTACCAACATTTTCTTATTTTTAAATTTGTTTAAATTAATATTTAACTTTCTTCAAAACTCAATATTAATATCAATACCCACAATTTACATGTAATGTATGCATTATTCATGTTGAGGCATAAATTAATAAGCATTTTTTAAGTGTTTTAACATAATATAATACAATACAGTTTTTAGTTTTATTTTAGTATTTTGGAATTTTACAAAATAAATATATACTATTTTATGTGGGTATGCAATATGCATTATTATTATTCAATTTAAAAAGAGCAATATATTAGGTTAGTAAATTAGGTATATATTTAGTAGGTACCTATATAAATCTACCTACACAACACTAACATTATTTTTTTACCTTTAATTTCTTTTTGAATAGGGACATTACCAGAATTTTGACGATCATCTACTACAGTCTCCATAATGTTTTTATCTTTCAAAGTTTCAGCTCTGTAGTCAACTTAAAATAAAATGGATAATAGATCAACATATAAATCAACATAACCAGTAAGGTTTTTATCTACCCTCAATCACTGGTTCTCCTTCACTATCTATATTTTCGGGTTCTTCATTAAAAGATACATCAAACATATTTTGTTGAGAGACTGGTTGAAGTACATGAGAGGGACGAGTTCTTAACATGTCTGGACTATATTCAGACCAATCCAAAACTACATCAATTGGTTTCAATCCAGTATTTGAAGCCAAAATCATACCACTATTACTACTCGAGTTAATAACATTACTTGTTCCCGGTATGGTAAGATTCCTGTCATCATCAAACTTTGAATTAAAACCAGTCATCTGATTCCCAAGAATTTCCTGAAGCTCTGATTGTATCTCTGATGAAGAGGTGGATTTGCAGGTCCTCCACCAGTACCACGTAGGTATGCTCTTTCATCAGAAAACACTTTTTTGCCACATTTTTTTATGTTTTCATACTTACTACGAAGAGTTTTGGGTGACCGATAACATTCACCACAAACACTGTTAAATTCTATAGCTAATTTTTCATATGAAGCTGCTTTTAATTTGTTTGAGTTTATGTCTGTTCTTTTGCATTCGATCGTTGAAGCATATTTCTTAACCAGAGCGAGCAAAGTTTTCTCTTCTTTGTAGGAAAAGTTGGTGGCTCTTTTTTTAATTGGAGTCATTTCTTAATAATTTTTATGTATTAGAAAATTATGTTTTATATGTATGAAATAAAATAAATTTATAAAACTTTAAAGTATAAAAGAATAAAGATTAATAAAAATAAAGATTAATATTATTCTTAAATTCTAAATTAATGTTATTAATTATTATGCTATCATATCAATTATCAAACAAGAAGTGATAATGCACTGATAATAATAGTATTGATGTGGTGTAGTTGTCCTAACGTTCATAGAATCCACTGACTGCTCTGATAAACCTAGTTTAACTATCTGTAGTTTAAACTACCGTTGAACAACATGGAAAATTGTAACCTTGGTTTAATTTTTAAACCAAGTTTAGATAATCTCTAGTTTAAACTAGACTGGTACAACTGGCCCTTACTTAGATATACAGGACTGGATACGACATGGTTGGAGGGTGTACCCCCCACACCCTCACGACAACCCCACCATGAGGCAGTGGCGTACAAAGAGGTAGGGTTCTAGGGTTCTGGTTCCCTGAAATTTCTTTTTTTATTAAAAAACCATGATAAAATAAATTTATTTTATTTATTTATTTATTTATTTATTTATTTATTTTGTCATGTAAAAAACCTTATTAACCACTATTTTGATACACACAAATCAATTGTTGGTCATTTTTAATAGATATAAAATAAATTGTTGAATATGACAAAGACGTCGAAAATCACAGTTTATGTTTTTTTTTAGCTGATTTAGAACATTACTAATAAACGTCTGCCATAATCGATGGTGTATCCATTTTTTTATTACTTTTCTATGGGTGTATCATCGCTCTTCAATTACTACTACGTTTATGACGGCTCGAGGAGGCTCTATAGCTGGTGACCAGGTTAAACACTGTAAATGTAGGCTAAATTTGAAACTATGACTACAATTAGTTAAATAAAAACTGTTAAGAAAAAAATAATGCAAATTATTTACTCATATAAAACCCTAATTAAAATCCTGCGTACAATACTGACAACAGACGGAACTCGGGTTTTTTTCCTTTAAGCATTAATGGGTATTAAAATTAAAAACTAATAGCTTTTTTAAACTACATATAATACAATATTTATCATGAATAATTTTTATTGTGTGATTGAATCGATTGTGTATTGTTAGGTAAGTCATTTTGTGAATAGTTCCTGTCAGTTTGAACAATACATTACTTAAGTTGTATCACTTTTAATATACCTAGCTGTATTTGCACGTTGACAAATATTAAATTCTTTAATGTACTGCTTTGTATCTTAATTCATTGATGGCCAATAATACCGCGGGTTTAAAAGTTGGAGGGTTGCATCCCTGCTATGATGCGGCTAGAAAGTGTAACTGCTTCCTTAGACTCAAGTGAACCTTCATGTTTAGTATACTCATCCGTTCTTCATAATTCAATATTCAACGGACACAATGTTTTTACGATAAAGAGTATATTTGTCCACATAAAATGATTTTTCCTGTCTCTTAAAATTGGCCTTAACACGCAATATTTTTATGATGCATATTATTAGGATATCTATATGACCTGTAATAAATACGACCATACAGCTCTCAAATTAACAGGCTCCAAAGTTGTTTGTGCATTAGGTATTTCTACATTTTTTTATTTAGACCTTGGTAACCTCCAAGTTCTAAACATATTTACAACTATATTAATTAAAATAATAAATTACAAATATATAAATTAGGAAAATTCTTATTCACTTTTAACAAATAGCGGTTGTGGCTCTTAAAATAACTTAACGTTTACTAATTATTTAAAAGATTAAATTTTAATTCGTATGAAATTTTTTGTTTAATCATGCAGTAGTTGTGTTATGGATACTTATAAGTATAGTAACAATTGAGTAATAATTGTTACATACTGTAATGGATGTGTTAAATTTAAATTCAATAATTTAAAATCATCGTGTACGAAAACAATTCTAAACGACTGCGGTCTATAATCAGCTTATATTAAAATAAGTATATATTATGATATTATTGTCATTAAAATAATTTATTTTACTATTAGTAATACAGGAGTAGGTTGAATTAATTTTGTGTATTTAAAATATTATAATACATACTTTTAAAGTTTCAGTTTAAGTTCCCTACCTAACCAGTTATTTTAAATTTTAATACACAGTTACTCACAATGATCAATTATTACTACGCCCAAATTTACACGACCCGCATGCACACAAATATAAAATTGCCTATGTCAAACTCCTTAGAAACAGTCGGTATTCATACCCCTTAATGCAAATATTCCATCAGGGGATTAGGATAGTACATATTTTAAAGTACCTATACACATAACTTCAATTATTATTGCATTCTGACCATCTAACCATCTAAAATCTGAACCATGGTTATCCTAAATAATAATTCGTTATCATAATTTATAATGTATTATTATTGATAAAGCGATCTTTGTATGGTTTTTTAGTTATTTATATACTTTTGGAAAGTTATTTATTTAACTACTGGAAAAATCGTTACACCGAACATTTTTAGATTTGAGTGATTTGACCATTTCTCGTTCTCCTGTGTGAGATTAATCTCATCCACAAACAAACAACCAAAATTATAGTTATGAATAGAGTACATACATAATATTATAATATACATCTGTCATTTACTAATTTATTATACCTACTTCTATACCTATTGTCGAGCGTTAGTAGATTTCAAGACATGTCATATTATAGTATTATAATTTATAAGTTATAACAAAATACATTTAATTATAAACATTTTAGAGACGTATATATCATTGACTTTGATGGACGATGGTTGAAATTTAAAGTTCATCAATTATATAAACAATTGTTCATGTTTATAACTCTTAAGTAGCCTCACTACTGCCGTTGATTTTAGATGAAAAGACCTATAGTATTGACAAAAATAAAGTTAGTTAACGTTGACCGAATTTGATTCTGAAAAAAAATTTGAACTCAGCAGAAAATTGTATATATACATCCTACGAAACACTTTGTAAAACTAAATTTTATATTATTGTGAACTGTAATTGAAAACTCGAAAATATGAACTTTTTTGAATCATAAATAAAATTAAAATTAATATTAAAAACGGAAAATGTTCCGTACGATCTACAGACATTTTTCTGCTGAATCCAAATATCAGAATCAAAATCAGACAACGTTAACTAACATTAATTTTGTATAGTAAAATTTATATTGTTATCGAGTTTATTACATGTGCTTGTGCGTACGAGAGGGATACCCGCATTTAATTTCATTCACACTAATAATCATTTACAACTAACACATAGATCCCGGGCGGCGATGAAAAGATTAGAAATTGCCTAAATGTTGCCCCTTAAATAATGACTGTAGCGAGGCCTCTTAAATAGATTAAATTTTACTCGTATTATCGATGTGCTTATAATATGTAGGTAACTACTTCTAGGAAAACTACTGGCATAGAATGTTGTATGCTGCTGCCTGCTGGCGTAATTATCAAATGCGAACAAACGTACCTATGTAAATATGAAATAGTTTTTAAAGTTCAATAAGTACATCATTTATAAGTTGTAGATGACGTTCACATAAGATAATTTTATACTTTTAAATTACCAAACGTTTCGGTTTAGGCCCTTCTAAAACGTACCTACTCCCGTAGTCAGGGGTCCTTCTACAACTACACATGTATGATTTAAAAATGAATCACAATTTAATGACAGCTGTTTTGTCATCTATTGATGACAATTTTATTTTATTGTATAGGTACCTGTTAAATGTTGATATATTAGTCTTAATAAGTATGAGTTGTTACATTAATAATAATTATGTTGAAATATATTTGTTTTTTATATTGTTCTCGACACAGAAGTATTAAACTCATTATATGGCATATAAAAATAATAACTATTTAAATAAACATTCTATTTTTCATTGTAAACAAAGTTCTGGTTCTCGTGAGCTTATAGGATTAAAGACATTTTTATAACATTTGCTTAGACATCATCATAATTTACAGTAACTGATCAGGTTAATGATCAAAATGTTCTTTAGAATCTGATATACATATAGCTTATAACTAATTTAAAAATGTCTAGTTATAATCAACATTGTAGCACACAGAGTAATAATAATTATGAGATATTAGAAGAATGTATTTTGTTAAATGAACTTGTAAATATTTCACTAAATTCTAATTTGGGTGATGAACACCAAAGTTCATATAATATTAAAATAAAAAAATGTGTTTTAAATTTTATTGCCAAACTTTTAATGAAACCTAATAACTAATAACCTAATAACTTACCTTGGGTGGTAATGACTCTCTAAGGTAGAATTCTAAAAAAAATGAGCCAATTATTCTAACTTCAAGTATTCGGTTTGAAGCAAAACATAAAGTTTTAAAGGTAATAATTAATAACCAATGCCATTCCTTGTCACATAAATCTGGGGTATAGGTTTACAACTTCAAATGGATGCACATTTTCATTCTAATTTTAGTTTTGATGTACAAAATCTTAAATTAGGATTGGGAAAAGATTTACATCCATATTCTCAATTTTCTCATGATTTATTATATAAATTAGGTACCAGATGAATTTAAAATAGGTTGTTTTTCATTTTCATGGTTAGAGTATAAATAGGAATATATTATTACAGAAAACATATTCTTTTGGTTTTAGAAAACAATTTGGATGGATTAATTTTTGGTAAGGTACCTAGTTTTTATATTTGTAGGAAAATATCAAATCCCTTTTTTTTTGTTTAATCAATTGTCTATAATTGTCTTAATCTATTGCCCTATTCTTGAATCGAAGTGATAATTTATCACGTGTGATATTCTTTAATTATCACATGAAAATTGAAATTATCGTTTTTTGATATTCTTGAATGAATTATTGATAATTTAATTTAACGATAAATTATCCCTACCTATCTCACTGGTGAAATTGATTATCACCTCGATTATCACTGTTACCTATTATTTGAGTTGTATACTTGTATTATTATTTTCTATTCTACCCCCATTTTCTTGGCCGTTATTGAATTTTTAGTGTAATTTATCGTGATCTCGTTACTTACTCGTGATTTTTTTGTAATTGATATAAAAATCTACAAGAGTATGGATGCGTTTTATATAGCTGCATTAGAAAACTTAGAACGGCAAGAAAATGCAGTAAACTACCGAAAGCTTAGTCACAGTGAACGATTTGATGCTTTTCTATTACCAGATTATATTTTTATAAACAATTATAAACTGACAAAATATTTAGTAAGATGTCATAAACATATTAACTCCTCATATGACAGAAGCAACAAGGACATCTGCCTTAAATATACAGACTAAAGTAAGTACCTACTTAATAAATAATGATCCCTATAAATATTATTGTTATTTATTAGTTTATTTCATATTAGGTATTCATAGCTTTGAATTTCTTTGCAACTGGTTCCTATCAACTTCCCTTTGGGAACAGTAATTTAGCGATTGTTTCCCAGCCAACTGTTTCAAGAGCGATATATGAAGTAGTTAATGCTTTGAATCAACCAGAAATTTTCAAATATTGGGTAAAATACCCATCAACATTAATAGAACTACGACAAACAAGAGAAAAATAAAATAAATAGATTCATATATTTTAAGACATGATAGGTATATTTTAGAAAATATATTTCAATGGTTTATTATAGATTTAATACAAAATACAATTTTCCTGGAATAGTGGGAATTAAAAATTGTACACATATTGGAATATTTCCTCCCAAAACCGATGATCCTGTTCATCCTGAATACTGAATACATTTATGCAAATAGGAAGAACTATCATAGCTTAAATGTTCAGCTAGTAAGAATATAGATTAACAATATTATATTATTTTAAATTTAAAGATACTACTATAAGTAGTATTTTATAATCTATGACAACTTTTTTTTAAAGGTCTGTGATTCTGACATGAAAATAATAAATGTTTCAGCATTATTTCCTGGGAGTGTAAATGATGCTTATATATGGAACAACTCTCTACTTGAACCTACACTCAGGAGAATATATAATTATAATCCTGAAGAATTTTATCTTTTGGGTATGTCCTTAAATTAGTATTCCATTTCAATATTAACTATTGAGTGTTATTTTTAACACCACATTTTGATAACGTGATAACGGCATACGCTATTTATTCAAGGAAATTCAAGTAAATTATCACTTATAATTTTACTTATCGTTTCTCGTTCGAGAATTGATACAGTTGATAAAATATTATCGGGTGTGATATATGAGTTGATAATTATCGTATTTGATAAATTATCACTTCGATTCAAGAATAGGGCCCCTGAGTTGGCTTTGATAATCATTTTCATACATTTTAAGTACCTAGTTATTGATAATTCTAATTCAATCAATTACCTACTCAAAATGAAATGGATGTTATATTAATGAATTATATGATATTATCCCAACAGTCCCCCATGTTTTGGGTAATTCTAAAACATATGCTACAATACAATACGTAATTTAATAATGTTTATTGTGCATGTATATAATATATTTCCACTTAAATAAGTGGACGCAACACCCGCATTTTGTATTCGGAATACATATTCAAATAAATGAGAATTAAGGTATTCAGAATACGTATTCGAATAGTTCTTAAAAAATATATCCAGAATTTCAGAATACATGTTCGAATACTTAAAAAAAAAATACTCTTAGAATATTTTTTTGCACAACTAGTTTTTGAATGGTGGGTAATTAAGATTATTGATTAGGTAATAATTAAAAATACATCGTAATCATAAGTACCTATTCAAAAGTATATAAAATAATATTCGAATAGGTACAAAAAATGTATTCAAATACTTTTATTCGAATACATTTATTCGAATACTTTACAAGACTGCTATTGACTAGCTGCTATATTATACTATTTATTTTAAAATTAATTTTGTTTTTGTATAACTTTATTTTTAATTAATGTAACTATCTAAGTACCTTTATTTATTACGTTTAACAATAAAATGATTAATACGTATTACATATTGATACACCATCACGCGTATTTATTTAATATTTTGCAGGTTTATGATCTATACAAATCTTCAACCTGTACCCTATTCAAAATATATTAACATAAATATTGGTTATTTTAAATTTAGTAATATGATTATGTTATTTGGTTTTTAGATTCTGAGTGAAACGATGAATGTATTGATTTTACAATGATGTGTGTTTTTTTTATTTTTTTTATTTTTTTTGTGTCTGTGTACACGATAAGTAGTCGAAATAATGCTTCGATTTTCGACTTCAGTATCTTGTTCGATTGGAAAGTGAATATCGTTGGTGCATTGGGGAGGTCAAAATTCCCAGTACTTTTCAAAAGAGCCAAGAAAAACAAAAGAAAAATTAAGGAAAAACGGGAATTTTTACGCAAAATCGATTTTTCAGAAAACTGAATTTGGTTTTTGGTGTAACTTTAAAACAAATGACCGTAGATACATGCAATTTTCACTGGTTGTTTATATTTGCATTTTCTATAAACGATAACATTTTCAAAATATTTTGATTTAATTTGAACTGTTTAGGGACATTTTCATGTTTTTTTAGTTTTTTTTCTAGAAATATCAATCAAATTTTATTTGTTGGTTAAAAAAGCTTGAAAATTTAATAGAAGGCTCCTTCTATATTGTTTCAAAGGCATATGAACAGTTTCGTATCCAGGGGGGGGGGGCACAGGGGCCATGCCCCCCCCCCCCTCGTTGGCCGTATTTACTAGATTTTGTTTTAAAGATTTAAATGTATTCATATACATGAACGCAATGAACGCATACTTCAATAATACGCTTATCTTATGCCTTAATATACCAGTATTCAGTAATCACTATTACCGTTATCACGTTTCACTAACGGTGTTCTAGTTCCAAAGGGCGCCAGTGAATAGTTACACAGCTGTTTTGGTGACACGGACAGTTTAACGGTCTCCGTACCGTACCATGCAATTGTTACATTAAAGGCTGAATTAAGTATATGGCAAAATCAATGGAAAGACGATGGACAAAATAGCACAGTGAATAAACCTGAAACCGCTATTGAGACTTTACCTTATTGTACAGATATTGTGCCTAATATTAAATTGCTTTTACAAATATTCACAACTCTTCCTGTTACAACAGCTACGCCAGAACGTACTTTTTCTACCTTAAAACGACTGAAAACATACTTAAGATCAACAATGACTGAAAATAGACTAAATGGATTAGCTTTAGTAAACATAAATAAAAAAGAGGTCATTTCAGAAACTGAAATCATTGAGGATTTTGCAGAAAAAGCACCAAGAAAATTGCAACTCGTAGATTGGTCAAAATAATTTCATATAATTGTTACTATTGTTTTTAATGTTTTTATACACTTATAATTTTGTTGGGATTAACCCGGTTTTCTTATTAAATTGCTATTACTATTTATTATTATGTATATATATTAACTTAATGACTGACTGAAAATCCTGGATACGCCACTGCATATGAAAAATATTAAAAATCGTTAGTCACAGTTTTTTTTATAAGCATTTAAAGTTTAAAAATTGACAAAATATGGAAAAATCACGTAAATTAGCAAATTATTTTGAGTTAAGAATTCGTAAAAATTTTTCTTTTTAAATCTAAGATTTTAAAATGTAATACAAGATTCCTTATAAGATTATCTACCTTTATCAAAAAAAAAGTGTCTATAAAAAAGTCAAATTAAATTTTTATGTGCGTTTGAAATTCAAATTTTTACAACATTGGATATTCACTCGATTTCTCATGTAGCGATTTCCTTATTTTGTTGTAATTCAAAAAAGAATAACTGTAGATATATGAAAATTTCACTGAATGTTTAAATTAGCATTTCCTATACACCATACAATTTTGAAAATATTTCGACTCTTTTTGACCAGTTAACGGACATTTTCAGTTTTCAATTTTTTTAGTTTTTTTTTTATAAATATCAATCAATTTTTATCTGTTGGGCCAAAAAGTGTAAAAATTTAATACAAGGTTCCTGATATATTGTTACAATATCAGTTGAAAAATATTAATAATACATAGGCACAATTTTTTTTATAAGCATTTAAAGATCGAATTTTGACAGAATTTATCTAAATCTTGATAATTATCAATCATTGTAATTAATAGCACAGTTTATTTTTATGGTCATTTTAAGTTCAAATTTGGACGAAATTACATATTAAAAAACCTAGAATAACTATTTTAGTTATTTTCTTGTGATTGTATATTGTTTTTATTCGTGGGCAATTGAAACTTGTAATTTGTACTATTATATATCTATGATAGTATCACGGTTTGTTGTTGATGTATAACGCGTAAAAGTACTTAATGGATATTGTGATGAGATTAATTTGGAATTTATTATAGGTACCTATAATAGGTCATTCTTTTTACCAATTTCTAATACTATAGATACGTATGTAATATGTTTTAAACCTAGACTGATTACCGTCTCCGCTCAGAATCGTTTTTCTTATACAATGATATTATATCATTGAATTCAAATTTAATACCCACTTGTAACCTACTGTAAAGCAGAGCGACATCCACTTACCCACCTTTTTTTCCTTGGTTTTTTTTCCGTGATTCGTAATTATGTAAGTTCTTACTTAAACATAGTTTGTAGTTCCTTTGGCAGTAATAGTACAAGGTTTAATTATACACAACATGAGAGTCATTTCAACACTCCAATATAGAATATTTCAACAACAATCAGATCCTATTTTACGAGTAATATTATTTCTCAACCTGAGGAAATATTTAGTTACCTTTAAAAATCTCTGGTGTTATTTTAACCACTAATATTTTTTTTAAATTTCCACGATTTATAAATGGTCAATTTAATTAAATAAATAAAAGTTATGGTAGGTCGTAGGTAACTACAAAAGTCTACCGTCACTACCGGTCTGGACGTAGGTCGCGTCTAGACGCCGCGCCTGACCCAGCCATGCTGTTCTCGCGTCTGACGCTGCAGGGAAACCGTACCTCAATAAATCGACATTCTTTGGTGTTAAGATATCTACAGATCTCTATGTGTGGCAAATAAAACTGTGTGGTTGTTTTGAATACCTACTCATAGATAGTCAATTCCATACACATTTGAGCGTTAATTTCACTCAAGGGCTAAGGAGTCAGAGACGGATTTACACAATTGCCGCCCCTAGGCAAATTTTTTTTTGCCGCCCCATTAAACTTATCAACGAGAAAACGAATTTTTAAATAGGTACTTATTTAACATAAGTACTAAAAAAATAAATCATAAAAACTGATACTAAACAATAATTAATGGCAGTTATGTTAATAAACTGTTCTAATAAAATGTGTTTATAAAATATAGTGTTTACTTACCAGTAATTTAAGTAGTATACTAATAACCGAATATGAAGTCTATCCGCCTTGAATGTTGTGTTGAAAATAATCGAATGTCTAATCAGAATAAACCTATTTTTTACTCGGCCACCCTCTATTTCATAGTCCCGAAGAAAAATAAACAATTATTACATAATTTTATCTTTTGGATAGAAATAGTTTTATTTTTGTACACATAATGCATAGTACGTACGAGTATATTATATAAAATATTCACAGTGACTGGTTTATAATTAGACTATTGTTCCAATACGAATCGATCATCACCCGTATTGGTATTAAATATATCATATCTGTATGTATTGTGCGTGTAGTGTGTGTACGCCGTGCGATCAAACGAACCACGAGCGATTATTAATAATTATTACGACTTAGCAAAAAAACAAATTAACGAAATATGTTATCCATGTTTGGTATTTAGATAATAGATCTACGTTCCGGCAGTCGTTCTATAATTTACTTGGACGTTTATTGTTATGTATTATAAAATAAAGAAGAAATTATATTAACAAGAATATTATTATACTTAAATATTAAACATTTTTTTTCCATCCTTCAGAGTAATCACCGTACATTAGAAAATCAAAAAGAAACTTAGAGTATTCTCAATAAAATATTGGCCTAAAATTGCCGCCCCTAAAAATTTGCCGCCCTAGGCAACTGCCTACTTTGCCTGACGCTAAATCCGCCACTGTAAGGAGTGTTGATTTGACGCACATTTGAAATGTATATTATAGTTACGTATATCATTGTATACCTATAGAATTTAACAACACTATAAATTATTGTTGCGATTCTCCGAAGTGTATCAGACTCTTGGCTATTAGATAAACATCTGCAACAAAAAATTAAACAGAGGTTAATACCTACATATACAAGTTCCCCTAACAATAATAAAAAACCCCGTCGGATCGGCATACATGTATGCATGCATGCATGTATTTTATACTATAATTTGTTACTGGACTGGTACTATTATCGTGGACCCCATATAGACTAGGTATATATTATTACACACGTAGGCTCTATTGTTACATGGGTATATGGCATTACAGGTAGGTACCCAAAATCTTGGGTCTATATAGTAGAGGGGTAATTCAAAATTGTTTATATATACACCTCAATGTTAATGATCTTACCACTTCTGATTTCATTTTGATTGAGGACTCTTGTGTAGTGTGTACAAACAACTTCGAATTTCGATTTGAGTATTGTATGTGCATATTGATTGTTTTATCGAGTTTTTCAAGATTTTGAACTTGTTGGACATGGCTGGTAAGAATTAATTAAGTATAATTTATTTAAATAACAATTAAACTTTTATTTTAAAATTAAGAAACAGGAATTTGTTGCTCAATTTTCTATTAGGGAATTAGTATTGTTTTAGGTATATTAGGAATGTTTATTACTAGGGTAATGAATTTCATTTTCATATATATTTCGGAACAAATTTTCAACGTTTTAAAAATTTAAGTGTTAACAGTTTTTCCGGAAATCATGAGTTTTTTATGAGTTATAATTAGTATAAAAAATTATAAAAACATTAATAAATATATACTCTAATATTACAAAAACACATCGGGTAGGTCACGGGGTAAAAACCAATTGTATTTTATAAACACATAGATATCGTAGATACTAATTTAATTTTTTTAGAGTTATAACTTACCTACTGTTGTAAACAGTGATTCATAATTTATGCGTGTTTAATAGCTAGCTAAAAAGAAAAAAATAATGGTCACAACGTTTTTGTAATACTTTTTTAAAAACATTGATATACATGTTACCAAAAATAATCTGAAATGTCGAGGGGTTGCTCAACTAGAATTATACCCATATTTCATATACTTACGAATCTAGGGAAAAAAATCCCCAAAGCTATATCTATACCGTTGGGTACAACTGTCAAAAATAATAATTAATAATAATAAAAAATATATAAATTAAGAATGGTAATTATTATATTATTTTAATATTGATAAACAGGTACATATTATACTACCTATATCATATATGATATTGCTATATAAATATTTATTTATTTATTTATAAACAGATAGGTATACCCTTTGGTAATACAAATTAAAAGCATAGTAAGTTGAATCTCAATTTGACAAATATTGTACTGATATTTATTAATATTATATTATAAATTAGTTAATATTTTAAAAATTAATCGTATTCCTGTTTATGAATCCTAACATCTTAAGAAGATGTCAGCGCACTATTTGTTTTCTCTCTCTGGCCCACGCTCAAATATAGACAAAACGCATTTACGCAGAATCATTTTTTCTATGTTTTTAAGTAATCTTAGGGTAAAATCATCAATTATAAAATAGATAAAAAATAATATTTTTGAGGGAATGACGTATTGATCATTCGAAATATTGTTATATGCTATATTTGTGAAGTTGTTAATTTAGTTGAGTTGAATTAAATACAATATTGAATATACTATCGTAATTTAAAACAAAATATTATTTATAATATATTATAATTTTTTTAATAATATAATATAATATACGTATTTATTATTAAATATTAATAATGTTGTAAATGGTAATTATAGATATTAATTAACGTTTAAAAAATATTTGTTCAACCATTTGCATGTGGTAAATAATATTGTAGTCTGGGAATTACCACAAGTTTGAAATTAATGGCATATTTTTTTTTTTTATTTCTGCATACCGATATTTAACGGTTATTGCATATTTTCGCACATTTTTACATCAAGTAGAAAAAGTAAAAAATAAATTAAATAGTAATAAATAAATAGCATTAAATAGTAATAAATTGAAATAAAGATAAGACAAACACATTTTTTTCTTCTTTAAGTATGTACTTTATTAATAATCAATATAATATTACAACCTAATATTAATTATTATAATAAATTGTTCGATTGGTAAATCAATTAAAAATGTTGCATTTTCCTACCATAATTTTTTCAAAGAAATTTTTTCTTGCATGTTTCCACGATTTTGACTAAATACTTATTAAATGACATAATATTATGATACTCTTTAGTGTATACAATCTGTGCTCTACTCATAAGTGAACTCATAGGTATCTGATATACTATAATAATTAAAATACTTAATAAACTACAAAAGTATACTCATAGGCTGTATTAAGTTATATGTATATATATTTTTTTTTTTTGGAGGTGGGGGGGGCTAAAAAATGATTTTGGTATTTTTTGCCAGTAAAATGTCTATAAAAAATAAAATTATTTAACTGGTACTTTTAATTTAAAAGATATTAATTTACTGTAGAAATTGCAGAAATAGTTTATTATTATTATTAGGTTTTATGACAAATATAAAATATTACATGTTTGTTTAACAGACGAATTGGATAATGGTTACCCACCGATTGGTGGTGGTCCAAGTGTGGCCTTACAAGGTGAAAACCGAAATTCTGTTATTTATAGAGATGCCGTTGGTTATGAGTACCATATGAATTGGGAAGTACGCGATACCAGGTAAACTAACTATTCAGTATCAATTATTATGTACCTATGTATAGGTACCATTCAATGAGTTTTTTAATTTATTTAGATATCTACGATGTGCCAGAAGATACGCTGGTTGTAGAGTGACAGCACATATGGGGTTAGAACCAGGGGCACCAATAAGTCTTGGAAATCGACAACAGTTTCACCATCCACGTTCGTTAGATGTAAGACTATTTCTCAATGTATTGAGAGAACGCGGTGGTCGAGAAAATGCTACTCCAGCTCAAATTTATAATGAAGTAGCACCACAGTATGTATATAACTATTTTCCTATTAAGTCAGGCAACTATTTATATCAATAAACAAGTATAAATATGTAAACATAATTTTTTTTTTTAATTTAGAAATGTAAGAGCAGCAGTTGTTGTTGGTAGACCAGCTGCCATTCGGACTATAGCCCGTGCTAGAGGAAGATTGAGCCCACCAATCCCCGAATCTCTTCAAGAATGGGCAGATATTATAAATCGTCCGGAGTGGCGTGAACGATTGATATGGTTACAACCACATATGGAACCAACAATCGTTTTTTCCAGGGACGACTCGATATTCTGGATGGAGGAGTTCCCAGATTTGCTGGACTTGTTTTTGCTAATTCGGCATTTCTACGCTCAAACAATTTTCATTTTTCTACAGTCCGTACCATCTGCATAGACGGTACATATCAAGTGCGTCCTAATCATCCTGCTGACATAGCACAACTCATTACTGTACAAGTTAGGTTAAATAATGTTGTAAGATTTTAAACTTTTACTATTTAGTAGAATTGTTTGGATGAATATATTTTTTGGTATTTTAGGCGATTCCGATAGTCCATGGGTTGCTGGTAGATTCTACAACCGAATCATATTGTAGACTTCTGCAATTCATCCGTAATGATTTGCAACTTAATTTTGAGTATCAAAATCTGCGTGTCATTACGGATTTTGAACAAGGTTTAAGGAATGCAGTAATGATGGTGATGCCTGAAAGTATGAATACAGGATGTTGGTTTCATTACATCAGAGTATGTTAATACAATTTAAATTTAAATATTGTATTACCTAAAATTAATTAATTTAATGAATATATTTAGAGTATAATCCGATTCGTTCGATCTAACCATTTGGCAAGATTGTGTAACACCAATGCAAATGCCCGAAGAATAGTGAGAATGGTAATATAACAAACTCTGTTGATATACTTATACTCTATAATAAACTATATACAAATGTAATGCTTACAGTTGATGGCTTTACCACATTTACCATCTGATATGGTAGAATACTATGGGAACCAGTTTTCTATAAGCCTAGGTTTCTTGAACATTCAAAATTTGGGTGAGTAATTGATGATAATTTAAATTGTTATTTGTATCTAAAAAAGCTGTTTTATTTTCAGTAAATCAGTACAACTTGAACAATGAGTTGAATGTTCTGATTATATACTTCCAGCATTATTGGATGGACATTGTGGGTCCTCCAAGATTTTCAGTATATAGACTGCGGCATAGGACCAATAATTTTATTGAGTCGTACCACGCATCACTTTTACGCCGTATGGGACAACATCCGCCTTTATAAGTATTCTAGGTAAGTAATAAAATTTAGTATAATTATCGATACAAAGAAATAATTGAAGCATGTTTATAGTTAAAAAATATTTTTTTTTATTTTCAGACCATTTGAGAAGTGTAGAACAACAATCCAGAATGGATTTTTCAAGAGCGATTGATGGACTACTGGTAAATTAATTTTTTTTATAGTTTGTCATAATATGCAGTTTCATATACAATTATTGGTATCATATTTATTTATGAATGTATAAACTAGGCTTATAAACATATAAAAATATTACGTTGTTTATAAACACACAATAAATAATAATTAGGTACCTACAGTAACAATTTTCATAAATTAGTACCATATAAAGTTTAAAGACTAGGGTAGGGCTAGGGTGATTTTGAAGTTAAGATTGTTTATTACTTTTATAACATTTAATTGTTGCAGGTAAGTTTTTTAGTATTTTTAGTAGGTATCTAAATGTCAATTAATATAATTTTTAAAAAATGTAATGTTAATATTTTAATATTAGGTACGATTCTAATTGTACTTGAATTATAATTATAAATGTATTATATTATATTATATTATACATATATTATATTATATACAAATGTTGTAAATGTTTAGAGAAATAAATAATATAATATTTATTTATATACAATGAATTGTGTCTTAATTATTTTAAGGTGAGACGAGTAACTTCCCGCATGTATCCACAAAATATGGTTACATTAAATGATGCGTGCTGAAAACGGTCAGTATACTCTAGATGAATTCCAAAGATATACAGCACATACACCAGAACAAATATTGATGGCAGAAATTGGAGAGCCAGTATTTGTGGAAAGTGAGTTTTATTATTATTTTATCCTATACACATAATTTAAATCAAAAATAACTTTACTTTTCAATAAATTTTAATTCAAAAATAGAATTTTTAGTATGATTATTCATTGCAATACTAACATTACTTAATTTACACTAGTATATAATAATAATAATAATTTATTGTAAAGAGAAAAAATTTACAATAAAATAATAATAACGCCCTTTAGGGCAAAGAGTACAGATATATAGAGTAAATACAGATAATATAAAGTTACCACTTATATAAAGCAATTCCACTTACATTGACCACATTTCATTAAAAATTGTTCTACAGTTTAAATCTAACATTGATCGATTTCAGATGATCTTCAGGACTTGGATTTAAATTTACAAGCTTTGCCACCACCACTTCAACAAATGGGTGATCAAATGAATCCAGAAGAACGTGGACGAAGAAGGCGGGGACAAGGTAGAGCTCATATTCCTGAAAGTAAAATATTATTACATAATCATTAAAATACGCCAAGTTAAATTAATACTTATTTTTAAGATGAACAAGGCCCGCAAATAATGCGTGTAAGGGGTAGGATACATCCTAGAAGAGGGCAAAGAGCCAATAGAGGCAGGGGGCAAGTCCCCAGAGGACTTGCTGCACAGACAAGGGCAGAATTTTTTGCCCAACTATCAGAGGATGACGAAGGTACTCCAAAAATAATTAAATCAACATAAAATTAATAAAAATTTAGTTAACAAGATTCTATTTATTGATATTTACTTTGATTTTAGAGATACAGCCACAATTACCACCGGTTCAAGAACCAATTCCAGAAAGTAAATAAAATAAATAGATTAATATTTTAAGTAATTTATGTATATTATATTTAGATATTGCTGAAATCTGCATCATATGCATGGATGAAGAGGTATCTGTGATATTGATACCTTGTAGGCATACATTTTGTCTCATTTGTGTACTGCGCCTTCAACGAGATGCTATACAATTTATTGTTTGTCCCTTATGCAGAGGAAATATTGACTCATGGGAAAATATGTAATTTTATTTTTAATTATGGTTTTATTTAAAAGTTTTTGTTTTTAAAATATTAATTATATATTTGAGTTTTTGTTTTGTTTTGTTTTTTTTTTTTTAATTGAAAGTTGTTTTTATATTTATTATATTTATTTTAATTTTCTTAATTGTTATAGTTTATTGTTTAAGTTGTATGACTATTAAATTCTAATTTATGTAAAAGAAAGTATTTGTTTTTAATTGTAAGTTGTTTGAAAGATTTTGTTTTTATTTTTATGTTGAAAAGTATTTATTTAAATTTTTAAAATGTTTATAGTTTATTGTTTAAGTTGTGTGACTATTAAATTGTAATTGATATAAAAGAAAGTATTTCTTTTATTTTAATTGTAGGAAAATTATTAATTTAAACTAGTTTCTAAATATGTACATAATGCACTTAAAACAAACAAATTGAAAATTGAAAATCATACTGTAATCATTTGTGAGTCAAGGCGAATACTGACAATTTTAATATAATAAATTGGTTAGATTGGAGGTATTGGTACTAAAACTATGTAAATGTGGGTTAGGATTTTTCCAAAAAATGTTTTAAAAAATGCCTATGTGGCTCACTATTTACGTCTTACCTATTACAATAAGAGTCCAAGTTCTAAGCTAATAGCCTAACAATTGCACTAATAACTATTTACTATGCCTGTTGCGTGTTGTAGTTGTCTAACCTATACTATAAGTCCTATAGTAATAAATAATATATAGTAACTTACTCATAATATAACAGATTGTATTCTGTATTCTGTAACAAGTATAATATAAGACATATTGATGTATAATAATATTATGTAATATGTATGTATCTGTAATCTATACATGCTTTAGTACTATCATAGAAGTAGTATCACAGGTCAAGTAAATAAGATAAGACAGTGTAGGAAACATTTGGAAAATTATAATTGACCCAATAACCAATTCTCCAAATATTGGGAGAACTGCTCATTGAGACAATAATTTTTTGGCACAACGAAACACTCCCAATAGAAATTGGGTTAATAATAAATTGGGAGAATTGTTGGTTGTGAAAGAATATCATTTTTGATAAAAATTGTATTGGGATAATTGTAAATTGGAATAAAAAAAATGTTGTTTCCTGGCTTGTACAATATTTTTTCCTTATACGTCCACAAATCCAAATGATAATTCTCCCAATACAATGTATATCTAATTATAATTGTCCCAATAACCAATTCTCCAAATATTGGGAGAACTGCTCATTGGGATAATAATTTTTTGGTAGAACTGAAACACTCCCTGTCAAGGCACTCTACTATCGACTAGTGCTGCCCCTTTCCTATTATGGCAGCGTTCGATAACGTTCGTTACCCCCGACCCGCAATAGCTACCGCCTCCAAGCGTTTATCCGGTTTTTGTCTAGTACGGTGCGCCAGTGACAAACTATAAAATATAATATAACAACTATCGATAACGATGACATAACAATAATAACTATTTTGTTATATATTTTATTTTATCGAAACCATTTCAGTTTTACGTGGCACGGCTAAGGTCACGTGAAAAATCTTTTTGAATTTATACAACAGTCTTACACTCTTGTTTTGACTCACTAGTGGGTAACTAATAACTATATGCGTTATTACTGTTTAACATAAAATATTACGTCAAACATTTAATTTATTTTACTGTTTTGTTCATTGTTCATCGCCTTTTTAAGTATGGCAAATAAAAAAAACAAAAAAAATTAAAATACCAACAATAAGCGGCTAACTGGAAAAGCACTTGTACATCGACGTTACAGTAAAACTAATAAGTAAGTTCGTAAATTCCTAGTCATTTTTTTTTAAATTAATTTACAGTTGAAATACTCATTTAATATTATTTATTAGCTACTTACTTATTTAATTTTATCAATAACGAATACTTAGATAGGATTTTATTTTATGTATTTTGTAAGTGTTAGCCCAAAAAAAGTTATCTTTGAAGAGGAAGAAAATACTCATGAAGTTTCAGCATCAAATGAAAATGGTAACTTCAATTGTATTGACTGTCAACCAAGTGCATCAACACAGTGCTTGTACGTTCACTCATCTCCAATGTAGGTCACTAACCAGTAACCACGTATTATACATACCTACGTGTTCATGTAAAAATATATTTTTGGCATTTAGATTTAAATTAATTATTGTATACGTTTCTGAATTTATTATTTAGGGTAAATTTATTAGCAAATAATAACTACATGACTGGTTTAGCCATTTAAGTCCGATCGAAAATGTATTGTGCGATGAAATTCATGTGAGAAAATAATGTCTCCACCATCACATAAATTAGATATTGAAACTGAAGATTTATATTCTAACACGTACCTGTTTTATTTTTACATTCTCAGTTTTTAAAAATATTTTCATCTATTGACTTATGTACCTATATCAATTTTAAAGTGAAACACACAATGAAATATCTGGGAATAGAATTGTTGACATATCGTATCTATTCAATCAAATTCAAAATAATAATCACGATGGTGGACTTGGATGTAATTTTATGAATATGGAATTTTTATATGAGATTCGTTTAGGATTTTAGTCTGAATATTGGTTTATTTGCAAAATGTGTAACATAAAACAAAAAATACAATCTGTGAAAAATTCATCTGAGTGGTCAATTAATAAATCTGTTGTTAACAGTGCAATAGCTATCGGTGAGTATGATAAAATATTATTACGTGATTTCGTATCAGTTCAACTTTCAAAAGCTCATACAAGTTTTTAGTTTTATTCATAGGAGTTTTTTTTTATAACTATTTGAAGAAAACTTATGGACAACCTTGAACAAATTTTCAAACTTAAGGTATAAATACTTAACGTTCTATGAATTTTTTACCTGCAAAATAACTTCGAATTTTCGCGATTTTATCATATTTCGTAAAGTTTGAGGTTTCTATGCTTATAAAAATTAAATTGTGACCTACAATTTTTGATTTTTTTTTAAATGGCGATAAGTACAACATATGAGAAATCTTGTATTAAATTTTTGAGAATTTTTGGGCTGCCTAATTTTCTTTATAGACCATTCTTTATAAGACAAAAAAATAATAAGAAAAATTGAAAATTTCAACTGCCTATAAATAGCTCAAAAAAAGTCAAAATCTTTTAAAAATTAAAACAAATTAAAGTAGATACATGACAATGTCACTATGTTTATATTAAATTTTGCTATACATCATAAAATGTTCTAAATATTTTGTTTTGTGTTGAGTTGCTTACGGACAGATTCTGTTTCCAATTTTTCTTCCAATATTTTTTTTTCTATAGATATCAATAAAAATATATTCGTTGTTTCAAAAACCTTGAAAATTTAATATAAGACTCATAATATATTGTTACAATAGCAGTTAAAAATATTAAAAATACGTAAAATGCACGAAAATGTGCAAAATATTTTGAGTCGGAAATTCAGAAAAAATTTTCTTTTTAAATCTAAGATTTAGAAATTAAATACAAGATTCCTCATAAGTTTGTCTACATTTACTTAAAAAACAATGTCTACTGGAAAGTCAAATACAATTTTTATGAGCGTTTGAACTTAAAATGTTTACAATATTATTTATTCACTCTATTTCTCATGTAGACACACATAATTATTGTATAAAAATATTTGTATCGCTCCGCTAAGAATCTAAAAATATTATTTTTTACAAAATGTATGATGATTATATTTTTTGATAGGTATTGGCTATACCCAAGTAAACGAATTTTGTGTAATAGAAATACCGTCTATGTCTCCTAAATCATATACTTGTATTGAAAACGAATTACAAAGACATAAAAAAAACAGCTTGGGAAGAAATGCGAAAAGCAGGCAAAGAAGAAAAAAGAATAGCTTTGGGTTTAGGTAATGTTGATACAGATGGCGTCCCTCTAATAACCGTAGTAGCTGATGGACAGTGGTCAAAAAGAAGCTACAAAACAAAATATGACGCTTTTTCTGGAGTAGTAAGTAATTATTATCCTCATAAAATTTAATTTTGAACAAAATTAAACATTTTCAGGCAAGTATAATAGGCTACCAGACCAAAAAAATTTTTATTCGTTGGTATACGCAATCTTTATTGTGTAATATGTGAGAGAGCTATAAACAAAAACACTAAAACATGTGGTGTTTTACTAAACGTTTTTTTTGAATTGGAAACAAGGAGCTACTAGCATAGAAGCCGATGCTATAGCAGAAGGGTTTAAACAAAGTATAGATATGCATGGTATAAAATTCTCTAAATTAATTGGTAGGAAATAATAGAAATAAAAATACCTAATTAATAACCTAACCTAACCTAATAAGAATCTAATGACAATCGATATTTAAACTGGAATCATCGATTAAAAAAAAAAAATTGGTAATAATTTTACTATTAAAATTAGGTGATGGAGACAGTAGGGTCACAAAAAGGTTACCCGAAATACTTCCCTATGGACAGGCTATAAGAGTTGAAAAAATAGAATGTAGAAATTATTTATTACGCAACTATTCTCAAAAAATGATGTCCTTGACTAAAAGAACCGAGTTTCCTATTGAAATTCGAAAAAAAATAGTAAATAATATTATTAGGATGCGAACAGATATAACTTGTGCTATTAAATTTAGAAAAGCAGAAGATAAGCATTTACATCAAAAAATTGCTGGTACATCAAAAATATTAAATTTAAGATATTATACTATAATTGTATATAGTATATATACTTAGTATATACAATAAATCTATATTATACATAATAAGTATACAATAAGTTATAAATTAATTTATCAAATACTTTAAATTGTTCAATTCTAGGCCTTAGATTTGATATTGCTAATGCTCCTAATCATCGAATATTTGATTATCACGAAAACTGTTCAACATATTTTTGTGATAAAAAGTCAATACAATTAAATGATCAAATAAAAAAACTGGCTATTTCATGAGAAATTGAAACAGTTGTGTCTCGTTTATCAAACAATGCCAAGAGTTTGCTATATTATTTATATATTTTATATATTTGTGGACAATAATATTTGTGAGCAGTTTAACAGTGTCATCAATAAATTTCTAGGTGGAAAAAGAATTAATTTTACACAAAAAGTTCACGTGTTTATGCTGCTGTTGTCAGTTTTAATTCATCACAATATTTGAGAACAGTAAAAAAAAACACAAAGCAAATGAGCCCAGGTATTATTTTTCTTTTAATTTAATGATACAAGTAAATGTTTATAACCAAGTAAAAATACAATTTAGGGCAATTCAATATGGTAGAGATATGGAAGGTGTTGCTAAAATGAAGTTTGAAGAAATGTAATGCAGAAATTCAGATTAAGCCCAGTGGTTTATTTATAGACGACGAATTTGCATTCCTAGCTGCAAGTCCCGGTTTTTAATAATTATTCATATAAATTATTTATATTCTATACGTTTACTAATAACATATGTATAAATGTATTGTACTGTAATGTATTATTGCATAATGTAGATGGAATTATTGACGAAAAACAAATTGTAGAAATTAAAGCCCCATACTCAGCGAAAGACAGCCAAAATGCAATCGAGGCTGTCGAAAGTGGCAAAGTATGCCTGATACTATATAATAAATATATATATTTTTTTTGGGGGGGGGGGGTTCCGGCCTTTAAGACCATCCCGTGAAACAAATTTCCCTCCACCTTATTCTGTTTTCAGCTATTTCTCTCCAGTTTGTTCTTGGGTCTACTTCTTTTACTTCTCTCTTCACACAGTCTTCCCATCTGAGGCGTGGTCTGCCTAGTGGTCTTTTTTCCTTTCGGATCCTCTTTAATTACTGTGTTATATCATATATGATTCAAAATTTTTAAATATAACTATAAATGCAATTATAATTTTGTTTAGTTACCTTACTGTAAAATCGAGAACGGCCAATTGAAATTAAAAAATAATCATAATTTTTTTATCAAGTGCAAGGTCAACTTCACATTTCAAAAAGAGAAACATGTTATTTTATTATATATTCTCCTCAGTGGATTTCAATAGAAAAAATAAAATATGAAAATGATTTTTGGATTACGAGAATGATCGATAAATTAAAAACGTGAGAATATAAAATGTTTAAACACTTTAAACTACCTATATGAATACCCATTTTAATTTTGAATTATATATATGTTATATAATTTTACATTGTTCTATGTAGATTTTATTTGGACTATTTGCTTCCGGAAATTGTAGATCCAGCTTATAAATATAGTTTGATGGTATCAGATATTAGGGAATCCAAATAAGTGGAAATATTAAAAAATAAAAATAGTAAATGATGAAAACCATTTGTTATTATTTTATTATATTTACCTATCCTTAAATTGCCATTTTGTAGTTTCAAATTGTATGGTTTTTATTTAACTTAAATGGATTAGTTTAATTTAATATTGATTGACTGCAAAAATAAAATAAATAAATCGAAATATGAAAGTACCTATATTATATTTGTATGCTATTTATCAATTGTTTTTCCCTATTAATCTATTTGTTGAGCTATTTATGTTACACTTGCTTACATAATATAGGTACATGCTAACTATACATTTTATTGATAATATTATATTTAAGTAAGTTATGATTATTTTAAAATTGTACAGTTTCAAAAACGTCATAACTTATTTGAGACTAATAATATCAATAAAAGCCTACGTGGGGCTACATTTAAAAATATATTTCTATTCCAAAATAATTTATTACCAATATGCAATAGCTAGGTAATATTTTATTTTTTTATTTAATAATATTTGAATAAGTAATAATTCAATAAACACATATCAAATTATGTTATAACACAGTTTCTACGATCTATACAAAGATACATATATTTAGGTAAGCAGTGACCTAAAATGTAATAGGTAGATGATGAGTACGCAAGGACATTTAAAATAATACTGCCGCATTTACGAATACGCATTTCATAACGATGCGAAACGTCCTAGACGAACGTTCTTAGACTAGTGAAAAGTGAACCAGGGGCTACGCACTTATCCTTTTGATAAAAGGTTTTTAAAAATAGTTATTGAGAATGACACCAAACGCGCTGTAGTCGTATTTTAATATTTTATTCCATTGACATACAATTTTTATACCATAATATTTGGGAGTTTTGGGTATTCCCAGCATTTTATTAATTTTGCATTATTGCTTTTACAGTTTTACGTCATGTTAAATTATTTTCAATTTTATTTTTCGATTTTGTCGTCTTGCACTCTTGTGACTTGTTCTTTTTTGATTTAAAAACGTGATTTAAAATATTTAATTATTAACATGGTCTCGAATAAATGTTCGGTAATCGGTTGTAAAGATTCAGCGAAAAGGAAACACATCTTTCCAAAAAATGAAGATAATCTGAAAATATGGGTAGAACGAACAGGAAATCCGGTCTTCGAAAATCTGTCGGTAGAAGCTATTCGAAGAAAGTACCAAATTTGTAATAACCATTTAGAAAAATGTTGTGAATCACCTGGTACGAATCAAAAACTAAAGTAGTATTCGCTGCCTACATTAAACCTACCTCGTAAGTTATTTTATACTTTTTTTTTAGTTAATATTCTTTTTTCATATTTGTTTCATTATTGCATATTATAATTGTGTATAAATGCATAGGTACCTATTAAAAATAAGTTAAACAATTTATTATGATGTGTATTATTTATAAATAGGAATATATAATTCACCATTGAACTGGTCTACCAGAGAACCATCAATATCGTCCAACAACTGCATTCAAAATCTCGGTAAACAATTGTTATATATATAATAATTTAAAAATAAGTTAAATGGTCTAGTAATTATTGATTTCACTATTATGTATACCCATTACACTTTACTAAGCTATATGTTACCTATGATTACCCATGATTACCATCACCTTATACACTGATTACCCCGAGGTATTTACCCCTCGCCCAAATCGTTATTCAAAATAAAATTTTACCAATTATTTTGTTGTAGTAAAAATTGAATTGCAATGATTTTACAAAAAATTCTTATAACATTCTGAATCTGTTGTTTACTGTTTTCTTAAACTATAATATATATTGAATACATTGTGTTGTGGATTTTATTACTCAATAATGTATTATGGTTAAGTTATTATTTATATAAATGTACTATTTAAAAATGTTGTATTTAATACATTGCATAATTAAATTAAAGTATTGGTTTAGAATGTGACCTGACCTACAAACATTATATTGTATATAAATTATGAAAGAAAAAAGGTTAGGTACATATAGGTTGTATTTTTTTGTAAAATGCAGGATTTCTATTCAATTGACTTTTCTATATGGTATTAATATCATTGACAAAGTGCAATTTAGGAAACATTATTATATAGGAACCTATTAAATTATGTAATTTCTTTGTCACTTGCAGATGACACAGACTTGCAAGGAATTTCAATGTTGGTTCAAACACCTGATACAAACACCGTAGAACAGAATTATTTAGGTAATTATTTCGTTATTATAAAAATTGTATCGTTTGATAAGTTAATTTAATTTTACAATTGACTACTTATTTTTGTATTTAACCTTATTTTAACTCAAATAATTGTATTAAGTGTTTTTAATGTTATTGTTATAGACACAATTTGTATGAATACAAGACCAACAAAGTTGAAAAATAAACAAACTTTATTAATGACCAACAAACAGAGAAAAAATTCTTACCCCAAATTGTAAACAGCTTTACAGTCAAGTTTTAAAATTTAAAAGAAAACAAGATATACTGTCAAAAAAAATTTAAACATGAAATGTCGACTGAAATTGGCCAAACAATTTAATAATAGTCCACTGAGAAACCAATTAATGGAAAAAGTAAACTCTACAACTTTAAATTTTATTTTGACTCATATTAAAATACAAAAAAGAAAAATTGAAGGCAGAAGATACACATTAAATGACAAAATTACTGCTCTTTCTATTTATAAAACCTCACCAAAAGGTTACAAATTTTTATCTTGGGGTAAGTTGACTTAGGTAAGATGACGAGTTCGTCAACTTGCCTCCAATCATTATAATAGGAGCTATTCATTTTGTCATATTTTATGTAATTCAATATCGATGTATAATTTGTAGTTTTTACTAATTGAATTATCTATATTATTATTTATTTACTAAATGTGTATTAATAATATGTATATATATTAATATGTATTAAAATTATTATAAAATCTACCTATACCTATAATTGAGTATACATAATTGTTTAGTTTTACTTGGCTTTTAAAATGGTCAGAAACTATGTGAAAAAGTCAACTAAAGGTTCATGGTCCAAAAGTAATTTAAAGTATAAATTTTAAACAAAGCAATAAAAGATGTAATGCTCAAAACTGTTTCTTGCAATTCTGCAGCAAAGAAATTCAATATACCTGAGGCAACATTACGTCGATACATAAATAAAAAGTCAAAGGTAAGAATATTTTTCAACTTCCAGAACTTCCTATAGCACCAATTAAAGTTCCTAAAAGGGTGAGAAGTAAAATACCATCTGTGTTATTGACTAGTTCTCCTGTAAAATTACATTTAGAACAAAAGAAAAAATTGAAAGAAGATTTAATTCAGTCTAAAAAAACAAGAAAAGAGGTAAGAATGGCTAAACAAAAAATTAAAAAAAAAAGCTTTAATAAAAAAAAAATATATGGTTAAAAAAAAATTATTCAAAGACAAATGTGCGTCCAACAAAAATTCTGCTAGATCTTCATCAGATGAAGAAGAACCACAATACATTGATACAGATGATGAAGATTCAGCAGAAGAAGAGTGTATGTACTGTACAGAGCCATACAAAAATGATGCAAATGGTGAAAAGTGGATTCGTTGCATGAGATGTGAAAGATGGGGCCATGAAATATGTGCAGGTGTAGATGACTATAAATCGTTTATATGTGATTTATGTAAATAGATTTTGTTTTATAAAGGTATAGTTAGGTACCATTTTACCATTGGACTTAAATTGTAATAATTCATAAGTGTTTTTTTTTTTCATAAGGTACAATTTATTTTTATAAATGTTATTAAATTATTTTTAATCGTAAAAGTTATGTTTTGATTTTGTTAAAGGTGCATTATTTTATGTTTATATTTTCAGTTTTGTTAAATAGGTATAGGTAGTTCCTAATACAAGTTGTTTTAAAATTGCTCAATTCATTTATTTTTAATGTATGAAAGTTGTTTTGTTTTTATTAAAGATGCATTTACCTTCATAGGTACTTATATGTTCTTCTTATTTGTTTATTTTGTTTATTTTTAGACTTTGTACAATTATTAAAAACAGTATAAATAATACAATATCCACTAGATTTATGTACTATAATATTATGCCATTTGATGAATATTAAAACTCTTTTAAAGTAATGAAACTTATTTCTAATAGATATAGTCAAGTTGCACCGGTACAAAGTCAACTTACCCCAGCCACGGGGCAAGATGACGAAATTGAAAAAATAAAATTGAACTCAATTAACTTCTAAACCATTGAATATAAACTCATAATATTTTTTTTAAATGATTCTAAATATTTACTACAACGTGTGTACAAAATTTCACATCTTCACATCAAATATTTACATAAAAAAAAAACTGAACCTTAACATCGTCAACTTGCCCCACTCTCCCCTATGTCGTAGGCATATAGTCAAATCAGGTATTTTATTAAATGCCTAGGCATTTAACTAAATGTCTATTTCATGTCAGGCAAATAATAAAAAAACATTTTGTCTTATTTTAAAAAAGGTATGTATTATTTATTAATATGTAAACACGAATAAAATAAAATAATAATAATAATAATATAATAATTATGTGAAATAATATGTTTGATTTCGTGTCCACTATTACTATTGTTTTATAAATAAAATCATAAAAATAAATAAAAAAGTTATATTATAATTACAAGTTTTGGTTACCTATTACTTGTTGTCGCATGTTGTTATTTGGTGGCATTTGTTGGAACATTTGAGATTTTTCTTAAAACATAAGCACTGATTGGTCTGACATTGCCACTTTCCTGCTTGATATTGACATTTTACAAAACCTTGACCACTGTATATTGATAATTTTGCTACTGCTTCACGTATGGACACAAATTTGTCTCTTTGTACTTTGCTGTCTTCTAAGCCATTATTTGACACTAGTTGAAGTTCTTCTCTTGAACAGCAATTTTTTATCATACCAACTTCTGTGCCAATTTGATAAACGCCGTTCCGAATGTCTATCACTTATCCATTTATATTTTGACTATCGAAAGGTCCTCAGTCTACTTTTGGAACACTTAATACTATTTGATCACCAACCTTTAGTTCTTTAAATAGTTTTTCACTATTTTCTGCGATTGTTTGTCGTTTGTAAGATTCAATGCTGTTAACTTTTATCTGTTTTTCATTATTACATAACAGACAAATATTTTCAATATCATTACTATTATTTATAGAGTAGCTGCAATTATCAGAATGAATATTTCTTTTAAATATAGTACATTGAAGTTCACTACCTGATTTTTCATAAACACTGCAGATATTATTTATGTAGCAATACTTTTTTTTCTTTCAAGGTATATTGTTAACATTATGTTCTGAATTGTCTTGTAAAATATTTTCAAAGTCTTCTGCATTTGATAGTTTTTAATAATTTCGGCAGGTAAGTTTGTAGAACTAAGACCTACTTTCGGTTCAGTGCCAAACAAGGCTCGAATGGCGAACGACTTAAAATTCGATGATGTGAAATGTTTTTTTGCCATTGTACAAAATAAACTCCGATTGACCACTTGGTACGTTTATTGTCTACGACCCAAGCTTGTAGTTGTAACATGTCTTCAACATCTTGATTTGATCTTACTACAGATCCCTGACTCTGATCACATGACTCTGGCACACCGTGGTCGGCCATGTACTTTTTTACATTCAGGCCACAATTCTGCCAATTCTTCAATTATTTTCGCCGTAAATTCTAGCCCATTATCAGACCAAAGTATTTGACGTGCTCCTTGTTCCAAAAAAAATTTTAAAAGTTCGTGTGCAACTTCGGTAGCTTGCTTTGAAGTAAGTGGCCGAAGATATAAATATTTAGTTGGGTGATCCTGATAACTATCATAACCCATTTAAAATTTCCATCGGGTGTTGATTGGAAATGGTAATTTTGAGGTTACGTTGATACAAAAGCTTGAAAAGCTAATCGTCACAGTTCGTTATCATTAAATATTAAAAGTCCTTCATATTAACGGTCATTTAAATATAAAAAAGTATTATAAAATACATAAGTATAAAATGACTACATTACATGTGATACAATCGATGAGAGGTGCTCCAGCAATAATCGTGCATGAATATATGTATACAAAATGTAACGAACTAAACACAGGTGATATCATATGGAAATGTCCGAAAAAACGTGCTATGCTTCAGTGTAAACCAACGATAGGCCAGAACTCTTGGAATCCCGTGGCACCCATAAACACAATCCTCTTTCATCTAGTGATATTGAAAAGTTGAAAGGAATTTGAATTCGTAATTTTTTTTTTTTTGGCATGATATATCAAAGATAACCTACATATCAAAAACACTATTTTAATTTATGAAACAATTATAGTTAAATTTTAATATTTTACGTTTATTAACGTAAAGATCGCCAGAATATGTAAATAAAGACTTTTTTTTTACTATATTATATTTACTAATTGACTTTCAAAACTTTTAGATTGATGTAGTGCTTAAGAGGAATGCAATAGAAGATGCAACTGTTAGACCCAATAAACTTATTCGGAGAGCAATTTGCAGTATCAGAAGTTGTGGATATGCGTGATATATCTAATTTTAGACGACACATCTATAGGTAACGAAGGACAAGTCAACCAGTTATTCCAAAGTCCATTGAAGACGCAGTGCAACAACTAACAATTAGACAAAATCAAATTCAAACATTGAAGCTGGAAAGATTTGTTTTCGTACACGACGATAATTCGATTGTTGCTATAATTTGCAAAAAAAATTTACAATGTCTGTGTACTTCTCTTCCACTCTTTGCTGATGGTAAATTTAATTACTGCCCAAAATATTTTTATCAAATGTATACTATACATGCTTATAAAAATAATATATATCTGCTGTTAATATATTTTTTATTAAACGGAAAAAGTACGGAATGTTATACTAAGATGTTAAACTTTTTAAAGGAGTTGTGTGGTTAATTTAATTTGTCGTTCAAGCATAATTTAATAAGGGCCGATTTTGAAATAAGCGCCTATATTGCAATTAAGTTTGTTTTTCCAGAATGCAAAATACTAGGTTTTAAATTCCATCTTGGTCAATCTTTGTATGGAAAATTAAATCAAGATTTTCCTACTCTTAAAAATGAGTACAATAATAGTGAATCAGAAACTGGAAAATGGTTGAAAAATTTTTTGGGCTTTCATTTTTTACCTTATACAGAAGTATCAGAAGCATTTTGAGAACTGATTGAAATTTCCCCAAGTGAAAATGCATTAGAATTTTCTGACTATGACCTTAACAACTATATAGACGAAGATTGTTTGTTTCCTCCTGAAATGAGGGCCGAAGCACCTTCGAGTATGCCAAAAACTACAAATGGGCCAGAATCATTTCATAGGAATTTTAACGAACCATTTTATTCAGCACATCCATATGGAAGGTAAAATCAAATTATTAGCTTACTTACTTTAATTCATTATTTTAATTGAATATTAATTTTAGTTACTTGAAGTTTTAAAAGAAATTCAGAATTTCCACAGAAGTGGAAACCGATATAAAAATGACAGAAGAGTCAACCCCTTTACGATCCAAAGAAATAAAAAATATACAATTTGTAAACGAAAATTATTTTAAGTATACAAATGAGGAAATAAATCGACAACAATTTTTAAAAATAATGGTGTGCAGGTTCAACAATATTTAGATAATATTTATATGTAAATACTTTTGCAATTTATAACAAATCTAGTCAGTAGATGATCAAATATTATTATATTTTTTTTTTTTTTGATAAATGTGAATATTAATCTTGTTTTTTTTAATATGAATTATGAATATTGATGATTATTTTTGTAAGTGTAAATAAAACCTGGTATACGTAATTTGCAATGCACAAACGGCCTATATAAAGGTTTTTTGTAACAATAGCGATAGGATGAACACCCTTTGATTTTTTAAACAATAGTGTTGCGCAAACGGCCTACAAAAAAGGTCATTCATAACAATAGAGATCCTACGCCTGAGCGGAAACATTTCCATGTTTTTCGGAGGTTCAGACTTCAGGTCATATTGAAACAAAACCCCAATCAGCTGATCGAGTTTCGCTTCTATATTTTTCTATGCTATAATGTATTGTCGAGTGAAATATTATTGTACATATTATATAATTATGTTCACGTAGCATAATATTCACTATTCAGTCATCAGCGTAACGTTATCGTGTTCGTAGCACAGTGCGTACGCTAAAATTTTTTTAATTCGATAGCTTTTAACGTTGTCATAAAGTAGCACATTAAAGATAAAATTAAAATTATGGACATAAAAAAGAAAACCAATGGTACCTTTAAGCGAAAACAGAGACAACAAAGAGGAGAAATGAAACAAAAGTTGACGAAAATAGATATATTTTTAACTAAAAATTGATTTGATAGACTTTATTTTATTTTATTTGATTACATAATAATGATAAAATGTTAATATTTAAAATTGGTTTTAGTAATTAAATGGATTTCCTTTTTATTTTGTGTATCAATTAATTATCTGTTTATTGTTTTCATTAATGGTTTTATAGAGGTATTTATATTTTAAACAACAATATAACCTATAATGTGGTTTTTCCTATGGATATAATTACCGGGCCTCAGCGTTGTTAAGTTATCGGACATGAGGAGTTGACTAAGTACAATATGTATTACCTTAAACTATTCGTACTTAATATATTGCATACAAAACAAATTATATTGTACACACTTGTTTAGTTCAGCAGACGCTGACTATACATTTTTATAATACTACAGTATATATGTCTTGTGTAGTGTGGCCGGGTATACATAGTTCGTCGTTGATTTATATTACGCCTTGTAACACTATTGTACATCGTTTATATCTACTTATTATTAAATTATATATATCCTATCTTATTATTATTTATCTTTAACTTCTGTATATATGTTTACTTCAACAGGTTATGGGCCCAGTAGTAAGGTCTTTATAATAAAGTCGGAAATAGTTAGTAAAATAATAATTGATTAACGAATTGCGTGTTTTATGTACAGACAGTGTACAGCAATAATAATTCGCGAAGTAAGTGCAGTGTAGTGTGCGTGCGTTTCATATTGCATTGATAGTGTACATTTACGTTTTTTTAAATGTGGAAAAGGAACAATATAAAATCAACAAACTCAAAGATGCATCAAATTGGGACATGTGGAAATTTCAAATTAAAGTAATCATGAATGCAGCTGAAATATTTGATGTAGTAACAGGAAAATCAAAGAAACCAATTTTAGCAAAAATCGGTAATGAAACTGAAGATGAAGCGAGAAAAAGGCATAGCGTTGATTATTCAATATGGAAAAGGGCAGATAATAAGGCTCAAAAATATTTCGTCACATTATTAGATGAACAACCTCTACAATACATTATGAACTGTGACACGGCAAATGGTATGTGGAACAAATTAAGGTCCTTTCACACACATCCGATCCGAATCCGATCCGGGTCCGTTCCGTCATGGCATCCGTTTACTCGGACATATGAACTTCTTGTTTTGAAATGGATGTATTCACACACGTCCGTTCCGAGTCCGTTCCGAGCTTTCCGAGCTCTCTCCGATCAAAAAAATATTGTCGCTGACCGATTTTCTGTCCGAGCTCGGACAAGTTTTGGCACGGAACGGTGCCGGATCGGACATGTCTGAACAAGCGTCCGATCGTATTTCATGTTTACGATATGCAACTGATATATTTTCATCATTTTCATTCCACTCATCAGAGGATCTATCTGTCATAATGGACAGCGAAAAATTAATTGAGCTCGTCAAACTTCATGTCGGGCTATATGACCTAAGTAGTCCAAATTATAGTGACAGTACATGGAAAGAAAAAGTATGGAAAGACATTGCAGATGAATTGCATCAAACAGGTAAGATAATATAATATTTGAGTGTAAGTAATATTATATATATTATAATATATAATACATACAGTTTAACTTATATAATATAACTTCATTTTATTTAATAATTGAGATTTATAATATTGTAATAATGTATTAATGTATATAATATTATAATGTAATTAAATAATTAAATAGTAATTTAATTATTTTAGTAAATAATTATTTTAACATAATATAAGTACCAATTTTTATACATAACTATGCATTTTGATATAAACATTTAACATTAGGTAAAGAAATATGTATAAAATATTATAAGTATTTTATAAGTTAAGTATTAAACATTATTTTGCCATGGAATAGAACCACATGGGGAATTAAAAAAATGCTTGTATGTTTCTCTGATACCAAAAGCTTCTCGTGTTGCATTTCCACCTTGTACTGAAATGTTCATCAAATTTATAGGAGTTGAATGGTCCTCACTCGTTTGTTTATTGTCACGTACATAAGTTAACTTCCCGTCATATTTTTTTATAAAATTGTGAAGTACACATGTTGTTAATATAATTACATCAGCATTTTCTGGTTTAGCTTGCATTCGTCTATTATATATTCTAAACTTTTGTGATAATAGACCAAATGCATTTTCCACAACTCGTCTTGCCCGGCATAGACGATAGTTGTATACTCTTTTTTCATTACAATCTAGCTGTTTTCCGGGATATGGTCTCAGTAAATACGTTTTTAATGGGAAGGCTTCATCGCCTACAATAACGTACGGTACATCATTTGTAGTTCCTGGCAACGCTTCTTTTGGTGGTACATTCAGTTTATTTTGATCAAGAGCTTTCCCTAATTTTGAATGAGCCATGATGCCTCCATCACTATTTTTACCAAAACTTCCCACATCTACAGCTATAAAATTATAATGAGCATCAACTAATGCTAATAAAACTATAGAAAATGTTTTTTTATAACAAAAATATTGTGAACCACTATTAGGAGGAGCTTGGATTGTAACATGTTTGCCATCGATGGCACCTAAACAATTGGGGAAGTTCCAGCAAGTCCAAAACTCTGATGCGATTTCTTTCCACTTCTGTTCAGTTGGAACAGGCATAACTTCTGGCATAACAATTTCAATAATTGCATAACATACTTCTATGATGATTTGGTATACAGTAGAAAGACCTAAACGATAGCTGAACGAAATAGTTTTTATTGAATCTCCGGTTGCTAAGTATCTGTTATTAAAAAAATAATAAATATAATATATAATATAATATTAAAAACAGTAGAGATAGTGTATGTATACTAATATATTATACTAATATGTCATTTTAAAAGTTTTTTAAATTCTGAGTGGAGCGAATTTTTTTTTTACTATATAGTTTTTTATTTGTCATATCCCTGTCTGTCTATACCTTATGTCGATAAAAAAAAAAACAATCACTGCCCTAGTTTTATGTATGAAATATTTCACAAAAACGTGAAAAATTGAAATTTTTTTTAACACAAATAAAAACACAATTTATTTATATTTTTAACAAAATGTTCAGTGTTCTAAATTCTAATGTCAGAATTCAGTAGGTACTAGGTATACAATATACAGGTATAATATTAAATATTTACTTGTATCATTTAAACATTAAAATATTTAAAAATTTTGAGTACCATTTTAAATGTATAGGTATACAAAAGGTTAGGTATACATACAGGTACCAAACAGTTATGAAGGTAATTTATGACAATTATATGTAAATATAAAACGTATTTAAAAATAATACAAAATGTATTAAAATACTGAAATATTTCATTTTTTTAAATTTCATGAAATTTTCAAACACTACTTATTATTATACAATAGGTATATTATACCAGGTATAGCTGATATATTTTGACCATTGTAAAATCAATACATTCATCGCTCCGCTCAGAATTTAAAATTCTCATTAGTATTTATTACTGAACTCAAAAGATTTAAAAATATATTAGTACAATTTTTTTATAGACATTTGAAGTTTAAATAAAAATTGTATTTCACTTGCTTCTTTAAACACAAATACAAATGTTCTGATTTTGTTTAATTTTAGTTGCAACATGCAAAAACCGTTGGAATAATTTGAGAGACATGTATAGAAAAGCATTAAAACGGAATAAAACAACTTCAGGTCAAGCAACAAAAATTATTAAAAAATATAAATATGAAGACCAATTAAATTTTTTGAAAGAGTTTTTGCAAGAAAGAGACACTATAACTAATGTATTGTGTAATATTAGTTCAAGTTCTGAAGGCGAAGAAACTATACAAGGTACTCAAGTGAACATTGAAGACATACAAATGAATAAAGAAAAGCATGAACCGATTTGGAAAATACCTAAAAGAACTAAAAACCACCAAGAAAAATATGGTGAAACAGAAACAGCGTCATCAACCATAATGAAATACTTGTTAGAAAAAAAAGAAATGGAAGCTAAAACAGAAAATCTTGTTCATCCAGTAGATTCATTTCTCTCAGGCATTGGTTCCACATTAAAAACATTAGACCCCTATAACTTAAATTTGGCAAAATCTAGAATTTTTAACATTGTACAAGAAATTGAATTGAACCAAATCTTATATAAGCAAACTGCAGATACTATTTACAACAATGCATCAACTTCGACAAGCGCAGGAAATCCAGGCTTAAGTACACATAACTTGTACAACAAGCAATCTACATCATTTTCAGTGGACTCACCATACACAGGACATTCGGATTCGCTATCTCCCCAAATGCAAGGTGAAATGCCATTACATACATTCACATCAACTTCAAACTAGAATCAATATGAAATTTAATATTTTTTTTTCTTTAATAATTTGTTTACGTAATAACTATAATTTTAAGTTAACTTTTTTTAAGTTAAAAAAATGTTTTTCTCTGATTAATTTTATGATTTATAACACAATAGATACATCATGCATATTTTAGTTTTCTATACTTAGCTAACAATAAATAATTTGTTAAGTAAAATTAAATTTTGCAAGTCACTTACCTTAAGCAGACAGCTAATCTTTCTCTAGGAGAAATGGGTTTTCTCCAATGAGTTTCTTGCTTTTTTATGTTGGCTTCTATTTTTCCAAGTAGAATATGAAATGAGTACTGCGTCATTCGGAAATATTCATAAAATTTTTGTTCATCATCCACGAGTCCATTAAATAAATTTAAAAATTCACCTTCTTGTTCTCTTTTTTTCCATAAATCATGTACCCATAAAGTACGTTTCCTTTTTCTTTTTTTCGAATTTATTTCTTCCTCTTCGTCAAGAATTAATGCAATTATAATTAATTCTTCTTCGCTAAATTTACTCATTTTACTTGTCTTTACAGACTTGTGCTTAACAGAAACTTAAAGTTTTAAAACTCAATCACATCTGTTCCCCACGGTTTTGGAGTGAGTACTGATTGCTACTGAAATTATATAACTGATAAACAGTGATGAAAACAACAAATCGGATCGGATCGAATCGTATGTATGTGAATACAACACTCGGAACATTAAAAATCGGAACGGACCCGGATCGGATTCGGATCGGATGTGTGTGAAAGGACCTTTACTTAGTGTGTACGAACAGAAATCGGACACAAGTATAAAAATAGTACAACAAAAGTTCTATCGTTATACAATGGATCCAAAAGACAATATAGCAGGTCGTATTTCAAAATTAGAAAATCTATGTAGACAACTAAAACAATTGGGAGAACCTATCTCAGAATCAATGTTAATTACAAAAATTTTGATGACACTACCTGATAGCTATAGGAACTTCTACAGTGTATGGGACTCAATTAATAGTGCAAATAGAACGCTAGAACCTCTCGATTGATGGTGGAAGAAACACGACAAGTGCAAGGGCAGGAGGTCCGTGCGATGGTGCTGAAAGTAGTGCTTTAACTGCAAACAAAGGCAAGTATAATAAAAGTCAAAAATACGTGAACAAAAATGATAATACAAAACCAGGAAAATGCAATCACTGTAATAAACCAGGACACTGGAAAAGGGACTGCAGGATATTCAAAAAGGAAAAAGAAGAAGAGAAATCAACTTCCGGTTTGGCGCTTATTGGTGTACAAAGAAAAATTGAAGAAATCGATGACTCAGACAAATGGTACGTAGACTCATGCGATCCACATGACAAATCGAAAAGAGTGGTTCGTCGATTATAAACATTTTGATGTGCATTGGAAGATGAATGTATTGGCCTGAACGTATTGTAGATGGTAAGCACATTATAGCAGTCGGAAAAAGTAACATAAATATTCATACTTATGTTGACAATAATTGGATAAAAGGATACTTAGAAAATGTTTTATATGTACCTGATTTCAAGGTAAATTTATTTTCTTGTGGGACATGCCTTGATAAAGGAATTACAATGGTGACAGACAGTAAAGGTTGTACATTTAAAATTAATAATCGTGTAATTGCAGTCGGTGTTCGTGAGAATAAATTGTTTACAATGTTAATCAAAACAGATATTTCACAGGAAATTGGACACTGTGCTAACGTTGCAATTAAGAAATTAACATTAGAACACTGGCACAAAATACTATGTCATCAGAATGTCAAACATGTTCGTGAGTATTTAAAACACAATGAAATACAATTTACAGATATACAAGGACACGAAGCTCCCGGGTTTGACGTCATCCGACAGGCCTTGCGGCCAGTCTTCCGACTACAACTACGGACCTTATATTAGCACTAAGTGCTAGTCAAGGGCCGTAGAGGCATACGACCGCACGTCGTCTAAGGACCACGAGCACCGGACGAGCACGGTGGAGTTCCCCGGCGCGCCCGTACCATCCGGCTAGGGCATACAGGTGCCTTTCGCCACCTTGGTGGGGCCGCAATCTATCCACTTTGCTTTCCGTTTTTGGTCACGGAAAACCTTCGCTGCATATAGCTCCAACGATAAGCTGGGTGAGCGCTAAGGGGGACCGTGCTTTCTCGGCCGACTGTCGACGTACGGGTCCGCCCGGCATCATCACTCGGCAACTTTCCCCTGACCAAGCGTGTGGTCTATTACCACATAGTATGCTCCTGCAAACTGCCACTCCGAAACCAATCCGCCGTCGGTCGAGGCAGTGTCCACCACGACCGACGTGTGAGGGCTCGGTGTTAATCTCTCAACACCGAGGGGCCCCCTCACATCCCGAAGCACCATTCTCGCTCCCCGTTAGGTGAAGAAAAGAGTTATATGAAGAAAAGAGTTAAACGTCTGGAAACTTTAAAGACATCCTTCAAAAAAAAAATTACAACTTATAACTAAAAGTCAGAAAAATAGTAGTTACTCACATTTAAGTAATAAGATGAATAAGTCAACTTTAAATTTTATTGAAAGTCAAATAATTAATTAGCAGAAATCGCCTAATGGTCGAAGATATAAATTGGATGATAAAATATTTGCACTCTCAATTTATAAAACTTCCCCTAAGGCTTATTCAATCTTATCCAATATGTTTGCATTACCTGTCGAAAGTACATAAATTCTCTATTATCAAAAATCCAGTTAAAACTAGGTGTTAATACTCACATAGAGAATAATATAAGGCACCCGGTATCAAAATTAAAACCCATTGATAGAACCTGTGTTTTAATGTTTGATAAAATGTCTCTTGAACCAGGATTGAAGTATGACAAAAAGAATGATTTGATGCTTGGATTTGAAAATTTTGGAAATTATGTTACTGATAAATTTGCCAACCATGTTTTAGTTTTCATGCTCAAAGGTATATGCAAAAAATGGAAGCAGCCATATGATTATTACTTTTGCCAAGGGACAACCAAAACACCAATGATGACATCATGTATTAACGAAGTTTTAGAAAGTGTTTTGAGAACCGGGTTAAAAGTAGTGGCAACAGTTTGTGACCAAGGTTCCACAAACAGAAGTGCAATAAACCAACTGATTAAGACAAATCAGAAATCTTCAATCAACAATGAAGAAAACCGAACAATAGGTTTCAACATTAAAAATGTAGAAATAGTTCCGGTTTATGATGTACCTCATTTAACAAAGAGTATTCGGAATAATATGCTTGATAAGGATGTAGTATTTACTCTGGATGGTAAGTAGCATTATGCCTCTTGGGATCATATTATTGAATTATATAATATTGATAAAGACAATGAAAATTATGAACTTAGAGCTCTACCCAAGTTGACAGAAAACCATGTATATCCGCATAAAAACAAAATGAAAGTTTGTTATTATGCCACACAGGTCTTTAGTCGGATTGTAGCTGCTACTATGAAACTGTTGTTTAGACCTATGTACAAAAATGATAAGTTGAAAAAATCTGAAGGTACGGTTGAATTACTTCTTTTTATTTACAAAACATTTGATTCATTGAATGCATCAAAACTTGTGAGTGATCCAGGTAAGCCATTAACTGGAGCAGTTAACATTGAATCTGAGTCCGTCCACATTAATCACTGGAATAAATCAATCAAAGTATTTGAATCAATGAAATTTATTGATAAAAATACTAAGATTCCAGTGAAAAGACAGCCACCATGTATAGCTAATTGGGTATTTACACTGAAACCATTTAAATATCTATGGTTCAAGTTAAAAAAACAATATTCTTTCAAGTTTTTACTTACTAGAAGTATCAACCAAGATTCGTTGGAATGTTTCATTGGCAATATTTGGAGTCATGGTCATATAAATATAAATCCAGATTGTTTTCCGTTTGTTTTATCATTCAAAACTCTGTTAATAAACAATTTAACATCAATCAAGTCCGCTGGAAACTGTGAATCGGATAACTCAGAATTACTGGATAGTTTAAAACAATTGCTGACATATTCACCATTATCCATTTATGATTCAAAAAGCAGATTTGATAAATATCCCAATCATACATGATGTCTATAATTATGTTTCAACAATGACTGATATGAACATTGAATATGTTGCAGGATATGTTGCTAGAAATATTTTAAAAACTGTGGATAATTGCAAAAGTTGTAAAAAGTACTTAGTAACTTCAAAGACTACAAATGCCCTTATTCTTGCTAGAAACTACACTGGTAAATCATTGATTAATCCTAATTTTTCTTTTTTTAATACTATAAAAGAAATGCTACACATTTCAAAATATATAGTTCCAATAATAATGGAACATTTAATAGGATATAAATTAACAAAAATATTTGAAATATATTTAGAACCTATGAATTATAGTTGTTCTGAACACAATTTGAAAAATATTTTATTTCAAAAGTTTAAAAGTTTTTATTTCTTTACTCTTTCAAAAAATATAAATCGTATTTTAAATGATTTAGATTCTAGAATTTATTCAAATGATTTACTAAAAATTTCAGCTCGCCAGTATTATTTAAAATATAAATTTAAAAAAAATTCATGTAAACAATGTTCTAAATTGTTCGCAATGACAAGCGGTGCGTGGAGGAAGTTGTTTTGACTGCGCGACTTATTCCGCGGCGGGTATACAACTTCCAAGCCCTAGATATTACAGAACCAAGGTTATTTACCATTATAATTTATAAACTTATAACTTATAGGCAGTTAAGGCCATGAAGTCTAGAATCTTCTAGTTTGTTATGCACAGAACTTTTAGGTACATATGTTAACTGATGTCTGGTAACATTCTTACGTACCTACAAGCATATATATTATACATAATAATAATATATCTATGCACACACTAAAAATCATAATAGGTACTACCACAGAGCCTTTATAATAAGAGAGTGGCCATTTTTCGTCCAAACTATTCCCGCCAAAATTTAATTTTATATTCTGTGAGGAGCGATGAAGCTATTGGTTGTATAATGGTGTTTATTTTTTTTTATCCTGTACACAACATTTCTACCAGAAGAAGTGCTTCAATTTCAACATATTATACTACCTACTTTAACTTTTAGCAAATTGGATCAAAATGGTACATTAGAGAGGTAATTTTTCGATTTTCTCAATCATTTCCACCGACAAATTACGAAAAACCGCTAAAAATGGTATTTTAATTTCTAACGCTTTGTTTATTACAATATAAGCGAATAAAAAATAGTAATATTATAATATTAATTAAACTTACAGGCTATAATAAATAATAATGATATAAAATATTCAGGCTGACAAACCGTCTTAGCTCATAATTGTTTTTCTTATACAATGATATTATAAGTATCATTGAATCATTGAATTCAAGTTTAATACAATCCATTTTACATTGACCCGCTTGTAACCTACTGTAAATTAGAGCGACATCCACTCACCCAATTTTTTTTTTTATAAAATGATTACAATATACATGTATATTATGTACATATAATTACATAAA